ATGATGCGTCAAAGTGGCAGTGCAAAAGCACGACAAAACACTACAAAGAAAACAAAGGATCTTTCCCAAAATTACGTCCCCTTTTCATATCTGATCGTTGTGTTGAGCATTATCCGTTGGCCATTGAGATCGAGTAGATTTTCTGGAACTAGATGGACGCCGGCTACTACTCCTTGATCAATCGGGCCCTACAAAAGTGAGTTTGTCGTTTAGCCGCCTTTTTATGCCGCCCCTCCTAGGTTACTCTTCTAACGCTCTATCTCACCAGGGAGATTAACCGTTTAAGAGATTAATTGTATCAGCCTATTGTCATCATTCTTATTCTACTGGTTACAAAACAAGTGATTTAAAAACTTTTTGTCCGAAAATCTTCTTATTTCTGATCACATGTGAAATTCACTTTCCACATGAACTCACAAGATAAAAACAATATAAGTTAGATATTGTAGAGCAGTCAGAAGCAATACTAGTAACTCGAATATTGTTTGTACTCTCGTTTGAGTGAAGCAGGGTCGAAAAGGTTGTCATTTCACTACCATAGGTTTCAAATCGTAAGATGATGTATTGGTGTAGTTGTTGAGGCGGATTAATTAATTTGTCCTTCCCTGTGGGCGTTGCATTTTTGTACTGCTCTAGTATCACTCGTTATTTCTTTTCATAATACTTTTCATGTATGTGGAGAATGCCACATCTTGTAATTGAAGGCTTAAAGCTATGTTTCCATTGGAACTTGCTTCATGTGATTTATGAGTAAAAAGTGTGGCAATTGTGAAAAATGAATGGATCTGCGTTTGGGGTTCTTGATCATGGTTTTTCTTTTTATTTAAAATCATGGTCGACATGTATGACTCATAGATGTACAAGATTACAATGGTTTGGAAACTTCCATATTTGGATGAATCTTATATGAGTCGTCAATGCCGCACATGTCTCGACATTTGTTGAATTGCCTAATGTTGCATGAAGAGTCCAGATTCGTTTCGCTGTATCTGTTTTGTTCGACAACATTTGTCTTTTTGTGAAATAATGTTCTTACTTACAGCAAGCAGTGGTAGTTGCAAATCTGATCTATGTGTTTTCTTTCTTCGTGGCGATTAGAATTGTTGTGGTTGTCGTCCCTTGGAGCTTTGAATGTAGAATTGGACCGTCAAGCTGATGAGCGCAGTTTTCTATCTACTGAGAGTGTATACTACTTTGACCTGCAATCATGTCAGCATTTACGGAGGGCATGATTGTGAGAGACAATTTTTCTTTATCCTCGCATAACATCCTCGACAGATCCGATCCGGCTTATCAAACTACAGTGTGCATTTACTAATGCTCGAAGGCTAGGAGAAAGAATACCTTCACGTGCAAAGCCTGCGTGAACACAAACCAACGATTACGTAGACCACCTCAAAATTTTCATCGCTGCAACTAATTTCATGAAAGACAGTCGTGCGCTTGCTACTCAAAACCGAACGCTAGTCGTGATCGATCAAGCATTTCGAACTTGCGAATGGAAATCAAGAATACTGGATAAAACACGTTCAAAATACCGTGGACCAGATGAACACTTGGTGTTTGTTGACTCCCACCGCACATCACTGTAGCTTGCATCATATTTGTACAAAAGTACTGATTAGAGCTTTGCGACTTGATGGAGTTTCATCGGATAAAACAAAACTTAATAGGTTCCAGCATGCAGTTTAGGTTTCGATGGGATCCATCAAATTAAAAACGTATAAATGTGTTACATACATATCACAAACCTATTTAAATCTTATTCAAAATATAGTAATGAAAGAATTTAAACTAAATTCTACCAAAATTTAATAACAAATACAAACTATGATTAAAAAAATCTATTGCCCAAATTTGAATAACTAAACTTAAAAACTTTTCTTCAATGAATATCTGCTTATATAAAAATATATAATTTTTCTATTCAAAAATTGAAATTCACATGAATTAAAAATTGATTGTATGCTATATTTGAGTATTTTTTGCAAACATTTGAATAACATAAAGAAATATTTTGAATTCGTGAATAAATTTTAATGTGAAAATTCTAAATTGTTGAAGCATTCAAATTACTTTCTTGGTAATTTTTTTTCTAGCTGTTGTCTTTGTTAGACATAAATTAAAACTATGAATCCGCTATACTTAGTTTCGAAATTTTTTCAAATTTAATGAAAAAAATTCATTATATTTTATTATTATATTTGAAATAATCACTAAAAATATATTATTCTAATAATATACATATTTCATCAATAGGGAATTAAAAAATTCAATCAAATGATTAGAACATGAAATTAAATTCAAAAATTTCAAAAATTTATAAATAATTATTCCAAGAAAAATTTATAAAGAAATTTTTTGATTCTTTGAAAGAAAAGTTGAATCTATATTTTAACTTAAGATTTATGAATTCATTGCAAATTTTGGCTATAAAATTGATTTCAAAACATTTATCTGGCTAAATCAAGATTTAATAAAGCTACTAAAGCTTTATGATATTATCAAAATATCTCACATGTGTTATAGAATATTTTTTAAAAAAATTGAAAACAGTCATGAGATTTGACATTTAATTTCAAAATAATTCTAATTTCATAATAACGTTATCAATATTTTACTTGAACTTTTTTTCCTATCACTTAATACTTGTGACAATGCTAGTTATTTATTAAAAAAGTTAAATGCTTTAATCTTTCATGATCTTGTTGCAGCATAAAATAAAGCAAATCATTGTTTCTATGATTGAAAAAAAATCATTTATTAAATGATATCCAATCAGTGGTTTATATTTAAACAAATTTTAATTTTTTATTCTTAAATTTTTTATTTTTTGATTTTATTAAATTTTTTTATAGTCATAAATTTTATTTATGCACGATGTATAATATCTGAAGAATTTTATGAAAATTTAAGACATAAACTTAAATCATCTATTACAATTATATATCCAAAAAATGCAGAACAGATTTTTCAAAATCTCGTTAATTTTCAGATAAATTTTTTGTCTATTTAGAGCCAGCCAAATCATAGAATTTTTCTTTCAAAAGGTAATTTTAGATGATCTGTAATAATAATATTTTAAGTAATTCTGTAAATAAATTACAGAATTAAAAAATATTTAAGATAAAATTCAGAATTAAATGTATCGAATTTTGACGACATAAATATTTTAGATTGATTAAAAAAAAGCAATTTATAATGTGATTTTTTGGATTGTGTTGAAATTATTACATTATAAGATATTAAAATTTAAAATAAATATTCAGAAAAAATAAATGTCTCAATTCAATATCATTAAAATTTCATCAAACAATTGCGGTTGTAGATAAAGATGTTTTAATAAAAATGATATTAAATAGTTGATTTATAGTAGAATTTTTAGAAAAATGTAAACATATTTAATATTTCTAAAAAAAGGTGAGTTTTTGTTCAAAATTTGATTGAATTAAATGCAAAAATAAATTCAAATTCAATTTGATAGTTTGAAATTTATACTCATATTCAAATTTTTTACTCATAACTTAATTTACTACTTTATAATTATTTCATAAATTTATTGATATGTAATAAAAGATTTTCAGGAATTGTATTTGTTTTAAATATAATAAAATGACAGATGAAAAAAATTTAAATGTTTAATTTATTCATTCAATTTGCATATTATAATTCGTCCAATGTATTGGTTTTTAGAAGAATTCTATTCATAAATAATAAAGATCTTTTTTATGTAGCAAAGTAGAAAAAATCAAATATTGAAATGTAAACAATGAGATTTTACACTTTGTGATATATTTTCCTATATTGAAATATTGCAAAGCATTTGAGTCAACTTATTTGGAAGAAAAAAAATTAAAAACTAACTGAAATAAAGTTAAATAAATTTTCATTAAAAAAAGATTATCAATAAAATTTAAATACAGGAAGATGTAAAGATATAATATTTTATCTAAATCTAGATTTTAAAAAGTTAAGTTAAAATTTTTTTAATTCAATATGAAAATAATCAAAGAAAAAATATCAAGAATTACCAAATATAATATATGTAAAAATTCATAAATCACATAAAATTTATAAATTGCATAAAAATTTTTTTAAAAAGAAATTAAGAGTTTAGTGTTTACGATTATTTTATATGGATATCAAGTGTGGGGTCCTGGTTGTAAGAAGACAGGGTGGGAGAGGGTTCAGAAGATGTTTCTTCGAGATTAGTTGAGTGCGAGGAACCAAAGCTCCTTTGCTATTCTACTTGAGGAAACAGTTTCTCTTCATGTACAGTCTGAAGTTCTTTATTGAACCATCATTCATGCTCGGGTGAGATCTCTTGGTATTTCTCGACTTACTCACCAAGCTTTACGAGACACACTCTTCTACTGCTTGGTACTCAAAGTGGAATGTGGCGAAAAGAGATTGGAACTTGCAACCTATCTCACTTCGCCAACATTTACAAGAGAAAATCCTTTCTAAATCATATCATAGCATGGCATAAAGCAAGATCTCATAGGCTACAGAATTAGGAAGTAAGTAGGCAAAATATTGAAAGAACGATTTTGCAGTTTATATGAAGGTAGGATTATTGAAGAGGAAAAGCATAAGTTTATTACTTGTACCAGATATTACAGCTGCTCGTAAGGTTCTTGCACATAATTTCTATTCTTGACTTGAGGTGGATACTTACGATTTAGTATGTTATTTTAGAGATATTTTTAATCGCCAAAAAAATCGTGTTCTCTCCTTGCGGCCAGTGTAATTTTTTGTTTCTTTGATTTTTAGCCTTTCGACCCTTCGGGTCCAGGGCTCTTCTATTACCATAGTCACTATCACAGAACATACTACTCATGTTGTCCAAAGCTATTGAAAGCAAGATAAACCTTCAAGCTCAAACTCTCACGTGCGAATATGGAACACGTGTACCACAGTGGTTTCAAATGTCCGAGGATATTTGGAATCTGGAAGAAACTGAAGTACGGTTCAAGATGCTGGTAGTAGAGAGGGTTTTGTGAGACAGGAAGGTTGGGGTGCCGTCGTAAGTCGCATGGCGAAGTTATTGAATCCACTGTTACCTTGCACTCCGCGGTTGGGGCTTTTACCATCTTCTCTGTACACTTCGCACCAAAAACTGGCTGCGAAGGGCATCACAATTGCTTCGTTGCCCAAGAGGCGATTGAATTCGCTGATCAGTCATCTTCAGAGTACGATGGCTGGAAATACGTCGGAAGAGGAAAATGCTCTCCGTGCGGCTGCTCAGAATCTTGCCAAACAAGCCGAAGCTGGGGTCCCAACAATGTATCGTCTTTCAACTTGACCTGTTCATTACTCTGAAGAAACACCAGTGATGGTCCCTGTTTTTCTTTTCAGCAATAGGATCTAGAGTGATCGATGCGCTTCTTTGATCCCCTTGGAAGGTTGGGAAGGCGGTGAGATGTATGTTACAGTTTTCAGTCGGATCGTAAGGGTACCACGCACAGTGATTTCACTCTCCCTTGGACGACTTGATAGCTGACAGTACTGATTTCGATTGTGCAGCTTTGACAAGATCGTGAAGAAAGAGATACCGTGCACATCTGTTTATGAGGATGAAAAGGTTTGACGTCTGTTGAACGCAATGTTGACTGGTTATCAGTGTATGGATTGTGATTGATGTATTTTACAAGGGCAGTTTCGTTACACCTGGATCGGAATTCAAGGCTCAATTCGAGTGCAGTTTCCTGTCTGCTGTCTAAATTAGTCTTTCTTCTCTCCGTATGCACTCGTATTTGTTTGCTTCAAGTTGATTAGGTTAATAGTCTTTGAGTTGTGTGCAAGATCTCTCACGGGTTGTTATTGTAAGGGAAAGCGAGCTATGTGTATGTGTAATCACAAGCATGAATAAGAAATAAACATGTATGAACACGACATCACATTCCTAAGTTTCATTATAAATATCTCACCGAAGCTGGCTCGTCCTGCACCTTGTCTTGGGTATCTCTCTATATTGAGTTGTTTCCTACTTCTAGTGCATCTATCTTTCGTATTTACCTGCGGGCGGAATGCTGTATCAGTATTCTCAGTCGACTTTCCGATCTGCACTTGACTAGGTATGTTTCTTGGGTTTAACAGTCAATCTGCCATAACGCAAAAGTATGTGTGATTGTGAACAGGTGCTGGCATTCAGGGACATCAATCCCCAAGCCCCCACCCACATCGTTATCATTCCAAAGGACAGGGATGGTTTAACTCAACTATCTAAGGTGAGTCTTACAACACATTAAATCTCCATGGCCATTTTTAGAGTTAATTCTCCTTTCTGATTTCAAATGTCCATTTTCTCGCTGGTGGAGATGTCTTCTGGTATGTTTGGTTGAAAACTTGAGGGAGTGGTTTCTTTGTCTCATATTAATCTACAGCCAAGTAGCTTGATGAATGTCATTCATCAAGCTCAAGATTCTTAATAGCTCAATGTTCTAATCTTGCTCTCGTGGTATATTGGAGCAGGCTGAAGAGAGACATAAAGAGATTCTTGGTCATCTTATGTACGTAGCTACAGTTGTGGCTAAGGACTTGGGGCTGAAGGACGGATTTCGAATCGTTATCAACGACGGAGTAAATGGCTGTAAGCATTCCAAACCGTCCACTATCAGATGCCTAACAGAGTTTAGAGGCCAAGTCTCCCAACTGGCAGCTGATGAAGATTAATGAGATATCAACTGTTGGGCTGTAGGCAGGACTTCCCATTATTTTTTGACGAGCTGAAGATTTAGATTTGTTCTACAACTTGATCTGCTTACTTACCGTGCAATTTCGACCTGCAGGTCAATCTGTTTATCACTTACACATTCACCTCCTTGGCGGACGACAGATGAAATGGCCCCCTGGCTAATTTGCGCTGATGAAATTTGCCCCCATTACCCGAGATAAATTTTGAGGGAGGTTTAAATGTAGTTTATAACCTCACCGATGGGCTCGCTGTTGGCCGAGCATTTATGATGGACTAGTTTCTAAGTATGCGACTGAGGTTCGTTAGGAATGAAGGTCTTAGTCAATTGGGATTTGGAGATTCTTCGTGATCTGTCAGAGAGCTCAAACGTCCAGAGGGTGAAAGAGTTGAATCCGATCCCATCATGCTGTGAACACTGGTTGTAAACATAAACTGACTGAGTGGCTACAATTCTGTATCTCTTCGGTCTCATAGGTGCCAGTTTCAAAGTATGCATGCTTTGCACTTTTGCTTGCTATTTAGGCTCGTGATTGATGTACTTAGGATTGATAGAAAGGAAGATACTGAACTTTGTGATCAGATGTCTACCTTTTGGTCCTAGGAATTTTCATTTTTTCCATTTTTTCATTAGTTATTTGTATGTATGGAGTTGTGATTAGTCGCAGTTCACCTAAGTTATTGGTAACAAATAAACGTTCAGAACTGTGTTTGTCATCACAAATACAATCTTCATATAGAACATGGGAATCGAGGTTCAGTGACCAATATGTTCGCAAAATATCCTCATGGATCAGTCAAGAGCCAAGGCAGTCCATGTGCGCGTAAATCTGGAAGAGAAGTCTTGTTTTCGTTTTTTCTACGAAGAATTCTTGCTAGAGATACAGATCTTTAATTTACATCTTTCATTTCACAGATTGAAATTTTTTGTTTTGAACCTATTTGATGGATGTTTACGTTTTATTGGAGAAAAATTATCCATACTTAATCGTACCCCAGCAACGGGTCGACCGTCAGGGGCTGCCGAGGTCGCAATCGGAGAACTATAGATAATGAGCTTTCGTGCACATATTAGGCGTAGGATAACGAAACGTCGACCTCGATTGCGAAGGTTTTCTCTTCGGTGGAATCAACTTCGACCCATGCCCACCTCCATGGCTTGCTGTATTCAAAAGCTGCTGCACAGATAGCGCATACGAGCTTCCATGTCAAAATGATCTTGTCGGGGGCGATACTCCAGATGCACATTCTCAGTTGAGGGATCAAAAGTGAAAACCCCCGGCAGTTGGAGATGATTTTAAGTCAGAAAAGTTCCCAAGGTGGTTGTTTTCTTCCTCCCATGGATATCGGTACCCCGAAACAAGATACCACGTGGACACTTAGTTTGTCAATGATGTGTTTCAAGATAGACAGAGAGAATGTGATGTCGGGACAGTAGTTTTATGGAGAGCAGGTGTTATTCTACGGTAGATACTAAACGGACATGCGCCTCAAGTTACTCTTGTGGCTGTTTCCTTAAAATACATTATATCGTATTTCGATAAAGTACATGAACTAATCGGATCGCGCGTGTATCGCACTAGTCACACTCCTCACGGTTGTCGCAAAGTTGTGACGGTTTTATGACTAAAATAGGGCAATTCGGAATAGAATATTTCAACTTTTAGTGTTTCTCATGGTAGGCAAGGAGATTTCAAATGATCATGAGTGCAAACCAACATTTTTGAAGATCTTGCACCGAATTTAGCCATGACATTAGATATGGAAAAATTTGATTTTAAAATTATCTTGGTACATATCTACACGGCTTTATTGTCCTAGTGTAAATTGTATCGCTAAATGTCATAATAAAGTACTAGAATTACATGGTGAGAATATAATCTCTCAATTCTCTTCTTTTCCATCCAGTTTTCATCCCTTTGATGAAAACCATGAAATATATGTTGATCCTTGAATCTGTGCATTAAGTAGGTATAGATTCTTGTACTAATAATTTCAAAAATCAGTATCTACCAAACTTCAATCATACTTTAATATGACACCATATATAAACTTGAATCTCTTTTCATCATTCATACAATTACACGTGCTCTTTATTAAAAAATTTGATATTGCAACATGAAACTCCACCAGCCTATACTGAAAGTACATATTTTCTTTGCTCTCCATACATATATCTTTCACCTATGTGCTTTCCTGTATATAAATCAGTTAATGCATATAGGATGGAAAGTTAGTATTTCAAAGTATGATAAAGTTAGGAGAGAAATTTGCTTGATACGACCCCATCATACTGCTTGATGGACCCCCTGCTTGACGGGCCACCGTTAGTTATGTTCTTGTAACTACTTTGTTTCCACTTCAATGCTACATTCGGTCTAGGATCTAAGTAGTATGATATGGCCCAAAAAAGTAAAATTAAGATAATTTTTGACATACAAAATATTGGCGAACTATGAGGAAAAGATCTTTGTACTTCTATTGATTTGATACTGTAGGGTGGTTCATAAGCTATATGTGAATGTCAGTCTTTTGTATGGTTTTATATACTTGATTGCATGGAGAACATACTACGGACACAAGAATATTACTCGTTTTGAGGTTCTGATCCCCATTTCTGTCTTGAAATCGTAGGGTAGGGTTCACACGAGAGAGTGGCTACGGTGAACTCCAGCAACTTTATTCCTTTTGAAAAATATAATTCAATATCCAGTATTTCTATTTGGAAACGCTCTAATGGTATCGAATGAGTAGGTGGATGATGGTCAGACATGGCTATGCCAAATCTGGAGAATAGCATATAGTACACAGCACTTTAAAAAGTACTAGAAAGAAGGCAGAGGTCAATCGACAGCAGTCCTCAAAGTGACCTGTAAATACTGCCCAAGATGTATGACGTCAATCATGAAGAACACAAAGTTTCCATAATCCGTGAAAAAGCAAATGATAGAGCTGCTCGCCAATTCTTCTTGTTGATTCGGAGAAAAGGCAAGGCGCGTACACGAACCAAACAAGAGCAAATTAAAAAAGGGTGCAGCTCTCTCCTTGCCGGGGAGAGCTTCGCCCTTTAATCGAGCCCATAGCGCTGCGACCAAGAGGCTCAGGGCCTGCGTCGTATAGTCATTGTCCACACAGCACTCAAAAAATCACATACTGCAATAAAAGAAGTTGAATATAATTCTCTCTGCAATTCCTCTCTTGTAAGGAATGAAAACGGTGTTTTTTAAATCTATATTTAGCTAATTTAGCTAATTTTAATGTAATTTAGAGATCAATATTTTACTTCACATTGGACTATTACTTCACGTTGGACTGCTCTGCTCCTAGCTTTTGTGCATCGGGTAGAACCTTATCAAACAATTCGGACCAATATAGACTTTAAGACTTGCTTTCGAACCGTTTACGATCAAATATATGCACCTTCATCCAGCTATTCCATAGTTGATACAATGTGAACCTTGTGTAAAAATTTCAAATTTGTGTACTTTGTTGCACCAAGCACATTTTCCGTCTTTCTAATCGTCAACAATATAAAGATAACATGCCAACATCTACTTGAGACTTCTGACTTTACCGAAAGGACATTATTATAATTGCCTTTATGAAAATTATGATGAGGGATTGAGAAACTATATAAATAAGTATGGTCAAAGCTTGAAGATTCGCTAATATCAATTTGTGATGTGCAAGCAAAGAACAAGGCATCTGGATGTTACAATCGGGACCGTTCTTCACCGTTTTGAGGATAAACTCAGCCCAACAATTGGATCCCTTCCCCACTCTCAGCCTAATATGCTACCAACTCGCATGCATTGACAAATAAAGCATACAGTCAATGAACATTTAGATTGACAATCTCTAGAAAATGACAAGTTACATAATTTGCTTTCTGATTTATGGTATAAATCGCTGACAAGTGGAGTGTTTCTCGCGAGGGTTATAGCTCATACACTGGTTTCCAGAACTAGGTTTATCATTTTCTCCTTATATGTCTATTGAAATGGAAGTCACAAACAATGGCTAGAACATGATAGATTTGACTTTATTTGTTACTTTAATGCATTGTTATGTATGTGAATACTTTCCATCATCAAGAGATAAAGCTTAGAATTTTTTGAATTTTTTAAATAAATAAATATTATGTTTAGAATGAAATGGAACGTATATCAATATTTATATCTTTGAATAACACAATTTACTTTAATATTTTTATTTGAAGTTAAAATAAAAATATAATAGTGATAAAATTTATCAATGTCAAATGTGATTATGTCAAGTACTTTAAATGCTTTGTGTTTATTTTTTATGAAAAATTCAATGAAAAATGATCAAAATCAATGGTTTTTGAAATTTTCCAAATTCAATATTAATTTGAATTAAATAAGAATTTTATAATCTAATGGAATTAATTTTTTTGTATTAGAAATGTAGTTGATGTCATATAACAATATCCTATGTAAAATACTGCGTTAAGTTTTTTGAAGGAATAAAAAAAATCAACATAAATATTTTTATCAAAATAAATTTATGAATAATTAAATTAATCATTTAGAAAATACATAAAATTTAAAAAAATTACAAAATCACATCAAAGTTTTCAGCAATTTGGTTTTGAATTTGCATAATTTTTTATACAATTTTTAATGGTAGAAGTATATTTGTATTCAATTTCTATGTATAAATAATCTTTGTCAAAAGAAATATTTTAAAAAAAAATCTCACCTATCACAAAGTCTTATATCTTAGGATTGGATTCAAGTCGTGATTTGTTTTCCAAGATCTACAAATTCAAAGATCCAAATAAGACCAAATATTCTTTTTCACTATTGACTTATCCCATCCGGGATGCTTCACAGCCTTCCTAGAAGACTTGGGTTGAATCTGATCTACTAAGAAATGACAAATACTTAAGCCCCTTCCCTTATGCAGGTTAGCGAACAGATAAATATATTTTCTGAGGTATCTTCTTGCATATGATCCTAGGTAAAAAATAGCAACCATATTAATCAGTACCTCTCCATCTTAAGAAATTCAATATGAATCATGAATGTTCAAACTCATTATAAACTTTCTATAGTATGAGAGTAGCAGCTATCATTGGTATGATCATGTCTTTATATCATCAACGATCTATGAATGGAAATGCAAAACTTGAATATTATATCTCTCATGTGAAGACCACATGTGTATGCAACGGATTTGAAGCTCGATGTTCAATCGTAAAATGATATACTTTCATGGTCATGATTGCACATACATGTAAGATTTTAAAGAGAATAGAGCGGCTGGTTGGGCATTTGGCATGCATTGGAATACAATAAGTCAATGTATATCGAGAAGAGGTACAAAAGGGCTAGATAAATGAATATCCACGGATACCACTCGAGCAACACTTCCGTTAACGCATAGATTAAATCCTTTACGAGAAGTTTCCCATCGACCAAAATCTCAAATCACCATTTTCTAGATTCCCGATCAACTGGTACCACTGCTGAGATATTAATCTGGATGGGTTGCCAAGCATCAGTCACCGTCCAGCACTCCATATGTTATATGATATTTGTCCAGCTTGACAAGAACTCCACAGAGCATTACAGGAAAGAGGAAAATAGACATTGGTCCAATCATACAAGACAAGGATGAACACTTGTGAAAGCAAAAGCATAGATAACCCTCATAGTGCAAAATATGACATGATTCAATAAAGGTGGATGTATACTTTGCTGAAACTATCAATATACCTTCATGAATTGACATGTTATCTTTGCTGACAAAAAAATTACCTGGATTCATTATACAACTCTAGTCTGATCTATATAGTGGTTACAATGGAAAGAAAAGAAGTATCTCATGTCTTCTGTCCGGGATAGAGCATAACTAGTATGTGCTAATTAATATAAAATAGGAAATGATTGCTCGTTCAAAAACCCTTGCATACATGACAGGCTATTTGCAATCATACAGAAATTTTTTTTCGAAAATATACAGAGAATAATAATCCAACTTGTAAAAAGTGATTATCTAGCCAAAATTTTGAACTTTGAAAGTGTTCACTAGTTTCAGTTAGTAGAGAAACTTTCAACATAGAACAATTCTACCTAAAAATTTTCGCCTAACTGTGAAACTAACGCAGTCAAAGCTCTCTATATGATCCTCCTCTAAACATGGTCAACTTTCAAAATTTCGTCACATCTTCTACCCGATAGTGGACACTCCAGGTTGTCACTCGAGTAATCGGGAAGTTTTCCATCTGGGCTGAAAAACCATGTTAGAACGGAACCTTACTTGCCACAGGAGTCTCTCTGTTTTCCTCTTCCTACAAACTCCTTTTACGATCGTAGATACGTGACTGACAGGCAGGTTACGATAAGCGCACAAAAGCTGTCTAATGTGGGATTCCGATCAGAATAGTGCAATACGTATTAAACTGCGCACGAGGTTCTGGCATTATATCCAGATCGGGAAGCCTCGAGATCTTCACGACGGCAATGCACAGACTATTGTCGACTCAAGGAACAGCTTGACAACATCTGTCAAGCACATTTAGACCCTGTCTTAATTTCATAGGAGGGGGACACATTAACTGTGTAAGCACAACTCATTTATTACAGGTATAAATCTGGAGTCTTTTACAGACATTACTTGTTGCTTCAAACGGCCGTCATGTTCGCTGTTTAATATAGAAGGGTTGGAAAGACCCTTCGAACGACTAGTAGGATTGAAGCGAATCGGGCAATTGGATATCAAGAAGTGCGGGATTACTCATCCATCCGTACAAGTATATAGTTAAACCTCCCAATAGTGACATACATTCTATATCACACGAGATTGATAATATTTAGTGGACTATGTGGAGACATTCTTATTGCATATTTGGCGGTTCAAATTTGAACTTATATCAACAATGATCAATGTAATTATAGTTATTTGATGTTCATGATGAGAAAATTTCAGATACATAAGATTTTTGTATTTTCCTGTATATAAGCAATTTCTACTATGTAAGATTTTTGTACTCTACTACATGTAGGAGATTTTTACTACTCAAAGATTTACATGGCTAAATTGAGAAGCAATTTTTCTCATTTGAGATATATTACTAAACTATTTTGCTGGGTAAATTTTGTAAAATTTTGCAAAACTCTCTAGATTACAATGAATGGTGGTTATAATCAATATGAATATCAATTGTCAAAATTGAATTTTTCCATTTTCCATTTTTCCCTTATATGATTCAGAAATTTGAGCTGGTTGAAGAGCCCAAAATTCTAGTCAAAATTGTATTTTTCAATTTGTCCCTTATATGACTTAGATGATCTCAATGCAAAGTGTTTGAATCACTAATGCACTAATGCCACCCTGGAACAACCTTTGTACAAATGATGTGCAAAATGATATCAATTTTGGTAAGATATGTTTCATTGCAAAATTCAGAGCAAACTTCCTTAACTTATGCTCCGAGCATAAAATCAAAACATCCACGTATTTTTGGGATCTGTCTTGTTAGACATATATTTGACGTCTGTCAAGGAAAAGTAGCAGATGATAACAAGAACAGTTAACATTTGACGCATTCAATCTTCTCATAATATAGTTGCAATCATGATTCAACCTCACTGGTAGCATAGAAAAAAAAAAAAATAAATCAGGAAGTTATGAACGGATACTTTTGATAATTATGATAGTCATTAAAGCTCCATCATGTCACTATTGAATCTTCTCATGTCACTATTGCCAGTAGTGACGTACGGTTCTTATTGACCAGATTTATATGTTAGAAACTAATTGTTCCACACTTTCATGTCACTAATGGGAGTATGTCACTCATAGGAGTTGACACTATTGGGAGGTTTAACTCTGTATGTACTTCGATTGTCTTAGTTTACATTAGTGTAAGGGACGACAAACACAGTTAGTTTCATGATATTAATCAGTACTAGATTCATAGCTATATTTTCTAATGTAAATGAGATTAATGTGGGAAGGAGATACTATGTGATCATGTGGAATAGCAAAATCTGATATTTTAATAGATACATTTGTTTCTATTTATTTGTGTTATTTAATAAAGATTTAAATAAAAACTTGAAATCTTAAGGTTTCTTCAAAAGTATTGTATCTAATTCAAGGGGAAAAAGTCATTTTATGTTTAAACTTGAAAGATAAAATTTATATGTGAAATTTAAGATCACAAACAATATGGTATAAGGTAAATTTTGATGTAATCTTTAATATTGAAATTTTTAATAATGAAAATAATACTTCATAGATTTTTACTTATAATATTATTACTTGATGCTAAAGAATGGAATCAGAAGTATAAAACCCTAAGATTTGAGTTATATCCATGAGGTCATTTTGTTTGATGATAACGAAAGATAATTACGTTTAATTATGATAGGGCTACCTACTGTGGTAGGTTTGCAGTTTACTACACGGACTGCTCAAACACATCATTCACAATGTCAATATTATCTCCGATCATCATCACATGAACATTTTCATGTAAGATCTCGTGAGATGTTATTCATCTGTGATTGTGAATTTACTAACGTATGAATGCAGGCGATTGATTGTTAGTTTTATATATTTACAATTGTGATGTTTTCTCTAACACAAGAGGTAGACACCTCTCGTGCCATCCTAAGAGCTTAAAAAATCTCGTAATTGTTATTATACCTTCCAGTTGATTGGACTTGAGTCAGACCTTAACTTGGTGTAAGGGAATCAAAAAACTTACTGCGTGTGTTATTAATACATGAAGCACCTATACTACTATTTGAGATGGATGAATAATCATGTCTGTGGAATAATGGAAAATGATGTGGAATCAATCTCATAAACTTCTAATATAGAGGAATGTAGAGATTTCAGTTCCATTTTCTTTAACTTCACATGAAATTACAGACGCCAAATATAAGCGATTTCGAGAGAGTTATTATACCAAACATCACTAGGTTTGGCATTTGTAAATCTATTCTACAGTATATATTAAGTAACATCTATCTTTTTTCTAAGAAGGAAAATGCAGCTTTTTGAAATCCATACATGATACATGTGATCATGTCATGTAAAAATCCTTAACCTAAATAACTAGAATATTTTGAATGTAATATGATAAATTTATGAAAGTTGAGTTATTGAGACCTAACATCATATTATCCATCCATTTTCTCGTTGACGGTGTCTTCCTTTACATTTTGTTTAATAACTTAGTTTTGTCACAAGGCATAAAGAATAATACTCCGCCAAAATGCTAGAACCAACGGAAGTCCACTCTTACAACTTATTCGGCGAGTGACAGAGGAAACAACAGCAACATGACATGAACGGTTGTGGGCTGCACACTCCACACAGGAATAAAAAAACGATTAGAATATAACATTTGAGATTTTGTCAAGAGATCATGTACGATCGATAGACCTACTTGTAGCTCAAGTCTAGAATCCGGGAAGAGATGGGAAGGCGCCGTAGACAACAGCCAATGGATCGTCACTTCAGAAGTCCTGTATTGCGGATGTGGTGACCTGATTTAATTTCACCAGTCTTCAACGGCGCATAAGCAGGCCCAATGGCCATCTTGCCTGTTGCCACAAAATTGACTCGACGTTGACCGATCACCGTGGTGAATCATGGGTCCTCCATGCCTTTGTCACTGTTGCTGTGCAGCCTGCTGTAGCGAATTTTGGACAAATGGCGATCTTTGCCACGTATGCACTTTCTCGGCTCCCTATGATGCTACATCTAAACATTTCCGTAATGACGTGTATAATGGAAAATCAAAGTCAAAGGGGGCCAAGTAAGTAGCAAAAGGATGGGAAGAGCCATCAACCAGCACAGTTACCAGACGAAACCCAACAAGTAACCACAGGCAAGTGATACATAAAATATATAAATGAACAATATATCAGATTATTATTTGAATATTTAAATAATACTGCACACTCTTGTCAAGAACCTGTTCAGATCGGAGAGCAAAGCTTTATTTGAGTCTATGTTTGGAGAAAGAATCTGCGTATCTCTTTAACAAAAGACTTCGGTATCCTCTAGAATATGGACTCGTAGTAAGAAATATGAAATTTTACCCTTTTCATATTTTTTATCACTTCAGATTAGGTTTCAAAAGGTGGCCAATGGGATCCAAACCCACATAGTTTGCTTGGAAGTCTGGGGGTTACCATCTACATGTACTACAGTTGAAAGATATGGTTAGTTCATAGCCTAACTCGGTACCCATGCAGAAATCATTGACTCTTGATATATGTGTGTCCCCACCAAGTAGATGATATGATGGGTCCGGGACCCAGTAGAGTTGCCATAACCATGTAAGCAAAGCATGACCAATGGAAACGAGAGGTGCAACAAGCGTCGTAGGTGGTGTCGCTCTGGAGTGCCAGAGGAACAGAGTCAGGAGTACGTGGAGAGGAGGGAAAGCCATGTCGGCGGCCGAAAACTTCCGACAAGGCGCTACATGGCCAAAGGCTGTAGGGAGGGAGGGAGGGCACAGGCTACAGGTGGCGACTTCAAAGGAGCACGCGGTGCAGGTCAGCGCGCTGCGCGGAAGAAAATGCAGGAGCGGGAAAGTTTGGCGGACCGAGGGGAGGGGAGCACAGTGGCCGCTGGGTGCAATATCCCGCACAGGCGCAGAATCGGAACAAGGAACCGGCGGGAGAGGTTCTAAAGTTGGGTACGACGCTAGCCAGCGGCTCGAGCAGATGCGGGACCCAGAGGCGGGAGTGAGCAATGGGCAGGCCAGGCAGCAGTGGCAGGAACAGAGCAGAGAATGGTCGAGTGAGGGAGGGACGGGGAGAAAAGGAGGGAACGTGGATTTGCACCGGGACATGCGAATTCGTGGATCGGTGGCAATTGCTCACGACCGGCTCGGTTGAGTTCGCTTGCACTGACCAGCTCGCCCGCAGCATCCTCTACCCTCTCCTCCGTTGCGACCAGCGAGCGCTTCACGCACTCGTCTCGAGCTCGTCTACGAGGTGATAGACTAGTGCGCACGACGACGCTTGCGAAGTTTGGAGTGCAGAGCTCGGAGGGAGGAAGGGAGGGAGGAGGAGGAGGAGGGGTCGCGGGGGGAATGTTGGTTCTGTGATGAGCCTTGGGGATAAGGGCAGGAGGGACGAGCGCCGGCAACCCGCTGGCGAGCACCTCTCCAGTTGTGTAGAAGCTCTTCTTTCACCGGAAGCCAGTCTGGATCGGCAATTGGAGGGATGCGCGGCAGTCGAATCCATGACATTGTAATTTGAGCAATGAGGATGCTTCGTCTCGCGCCTCGGATTTTCCTACTTTAGGAGAATATTCAGGTGGATTGTTGAATTGAGTATTGCCAGTGTTTTAGTGTGTGCCGTTCTTAGCATTCATGGTGTCTTTACGCTGAAGAGTTTTCGGTTTTCAAGACTTGCTGGGTTCCTGCCTCAGAGTTCCTGCCTGCGCATCTCTTCTTTACAGCAAGCCTATATGTCCTACTCAAACCCATCGTCGCCTAAGCAAATTAAAAGGAAAGCGAGTTCCAATTCTACTTGATAAGTATGAAATGTGCCACTCGCAGCGTGATTCGTAACATGCGAATGCATGTCGCTCGTTACGCTTCAAGGACTGCTAGTTCATCTACTCTTTTGGGAAGATTAAGAACGTTTACAAATGGAGACTTACGCTAACGCCATTAATCTCTGCTGTTAATATTGCACACAACCTGCTGTAGCCACGAGTTCCATGGTTCGCTGTCTTCTACGAAGATTGGAAGAACCTTCAATATCGAGGAATAACTCACTGAATTCGATGCGAGCGCATGGACTATTGAGAAGACAGTATGTACACCGGAAATGAGTTTTACATCCTGGTTTCTAGTCTCATCTACCTGTCACCATTTTCCCGGGTTCTGAGAACCCAGGAGGAGGACAAATCAGGCTTTGCTTCAACGTCTGAGACTCGCGAGACTCGAGACGGTTGAAGGGCCTACTTCAGCAACTAACATTGAAGGCTGTCTGCGTGTTAATTGAATGTTTCCTTCAAAGAAAGATTAATCAGCGAGCCACATCAGATAAGCATGGCACCCCATTTCCAGTCTACCAAATGTTGTTACGCAGTTTCTACTGAGCTAGAGTTGTTCTAGGAACTTATTCGACATTCTCAAGGGTGTCAACTTCTCTGACGCTGGAGTTCAACACGAAAAGCCTGAAATTAGTGGAGAGTAATTTGAGCTCGTTCTGTTGTCGAACGTATCCCGTTTTGTCCCTTCTCTGGTGATGGGACTCTCGTGAAAGCATCTTAATCCGGCCATTCGATTCGGGATTCCAGCTCGGAATGATCATTATATACTTGGACCATGGTTAAGTGCTTCTTCTTATACTGAAATCTCATAATCAGGAAGAGCGAGAAAGAGCTAATTCCAGACGCAAGCTATCAATTATGGTCTTGGTGACTATCGACGCTATCTTTCCCAGCTGTTATGTTCCTTCAACAGATTGTTCTTGTGAATTGAGCTCAATTGGCATCAGCAGGCTGCCCGTTGCTGACCAAAATGTTACACGACTTAAACCATGCAGAAATTGGGGCATCAAAGGTTGTGGGCGCTCCTGGATAGTCCTTGTGGAGATTCGACATGCTGTAATTTGTCGCTGTGTCTTGCTCTGAGTGACATACCTGTCCGATTGATACATACGCACTAGGTAAGTGTTTCCTTAATCTTTAGTGAATGCAGTTTACAGTGTACTTGGCATCGCGATGATAATTATTGCTCGTATTACTTTGTAATTAGCTGGGATACTCGCTAAGGTACAGTGCGATCTTTCTTCTTGGCAGGACAATATCACTATGGGGAGGGAATTTCATGATGTGGAGATTCAGAGACCTCTTCTAGAGGAGGCCAACAATGGAGATTCTGTTGCTGCGGAAGCTGAGGCAACGAGTTCAATCAAAGTAGCCACCGTCGAACCTCGCAGATTATTACCTGCGGAAATTTACTCGAATGGAGACAGCCCTTACAAGCATAGCCCGGGAACAAGTATCCTCTGTAAGGCTATTGTAGCAATTGTCATCTACTTTGCCATTGGAACCTTGTGCTTTTACTATGCCGGGGACGATCTCTTGGGTGTAAGAACACAGGCTTTCATCGACGCCCTTTATCTCTGTGTCGTGACTTTGACCACCGTGGGATATGGAGACCTTGTGCCCTCGTCCACAACGACAAAGCTCTTTACATGTGTCTATGTGTTTGTGGGATTCGGCCTCGTGGGTGTATTGCTGAGTGGCGCTGCCAATTACCTCGTTGGGAAACAAGAGCAGATTTTAGAGAAAGCTGTGTATCGCAAAGATCGCAACCATCATTGTGAGGACCACTTGCCTGAGGATGACGACGTGAGATCTGCTCATTGGAAAGCAGTAATTTCTGGGATGATGATACTAGTCTTAATGATTATGGGGGTCACGTTTCTTGTGCACTACGAGAAGTTCACTTTGGTGGATGCAGTGTATTGTGTCTCTGTTACCGTCACTACTCTTGGATACGGAGATCGAAGTTTCAAGACTGCAACTGGTCGTCTCTTCGCTGCAATATGGATTCTTGCCAGTACCATTTGCGCTGCTCAGTTTTTCCTTTACCTTTCCGAGGTTCACACGGAACATCGGCAAAGGAGGTTAGCCCGTTGGGTGCTCTCACGTAAACCAACTAAGGTGGATCTTCAAAATGCGGACTTCGACAAAGACCAGTTTGTCAGGTTAGTTTTCTAATTCCTTGTTCTGAATTGTCTTTTTCTGCAGTGTGTAATGTAAGTAAATACATTGATGACAACTCTCGTTTCAGGAACCACAGTTTGATGTGAACTACTTCATGGTTGTTCACAACCGTTTTAGTGAAATTTCAAGTTTCTTTTTCCAACGTCAATGTTTCTACTAATGCTGGGTTTAGAAATGCTATGTCCCTTTTGAGTAACATCTGAAAATTAACTTCCGTAGCTGGCACGTAGACAGTCCTTTGTCATCGATACCCTTTTTATTCTGTTTTCGAAACTAGCGACTCCTCGTCAGCCTAACGTACTTTTTTCACTGTGCCTTTTAGAACGAGGAGAGCCTTTGACGTGCTACTACATTCATATTCTTTGTCCTGTATTTCCACTCGAAACTTGGTCAAGAGATGTTGAGGATGCATTGCTGACTTCTCATGTGTTTGTTGGGTTGTATGCAGTGCACCAGAATTTGTGATTTATAAGTTGAAAGAGCTTGGGAAAATCGATGAGGACGATGTGACCGGAATCTTGCAGCATTATAAGCAATACGTCCCGACCCCTACCGACTGTATAAATATACATGACTCGTACCTCGCCCAGCCATCATGAACCATGCATCGGCCATCAAGCAGACTATGCTTTTCAGTCAGTCAGAACTTTATTAACCTAACGTCTCGCTAGGAAGGAAAGGGTGAGGGTGATCCCGGTGAAAGTGCCTAGAGCATAGGTCAAGTAATTTTCAAACACATTTTATCTCTATCTGTTAGGGAGTGGAGGTAATAAGCATCTTCTGAGATCTTCAATCCAGATCTTACAGGCTGCCACATGATCTTCAAATTAGTTGGTAGGCAGGAGACAAGTGAAGCCCACGTCTATCAGCTCGTGGTCCTGATGTCTTTTGCTTGACGAATCGTTTGTAGCCTTGTGGCAAAAGTTACGAGAAAACCAGGATCTTGTCCTATGTACTATGCGTGAATGAGACGAGGCAACCATTCCACCTGCCATTTCCAGTGAGGCATTGTTGCTTGAATTGTTCTCGACCCCTTCCTACTAGGTGGCCTTGAGGGACAGGATTTTTAGCCGTCAAATAGATGCGAAGGATCTCGAGTTCTGGAAATTCAAATCTAGTGTGAGCTAGTCTCGAGTTTATACTATTCTTACCTCCTGTCAACCGGGTCTTTCGTATTCCTCTATCTCGCCGAAAGGATGGAAATGCGGAAACGTTTCTCGGCTCCGTCAGTGTACATGAATCGAGGTCGTCAATAATTTCATGCTTGGATAGAGTGAGCTGGGAGTAGCTGCTGTAGTTACATTTGGAGAGAAGGTGTTTTCATAGATAGTTTGGCTTGAGATTCAACTCTACACTGTCCTCATGGTTAAATTCGCCCTTTTGCGCGTTAGGTAGACAAGCAAATTCCTGTATGTGTTAGGCAATGCACGCTCATATGGAGTTTTTGTAAAATATTTCAGCCTCTAGATTCAGTACTTTTAATTTTGGAGCTCACCTGGGTCTTGGAACCTAATTAAGCTTTTTGGTGGATTATGGACTATCTGATTCCCTAGCCTGGGATGAACTTGAAAATTCTTCTCCACTGAACCCAGCTCTCACGAATAACTTGTCTGAAATTTACACTATTTTCTTATTGCGATTTGTTTCCCAGTCCCTTGAAGCAAATTTGGGAACGTCTTACTTTTGCTCTAGCTTATTATGAACCAACTATCTGGGTCAGGGTGATTGAAGAGTGTCGCTACATAGTTGTACAAGGAGAGAGCGAGTAGTCAAGAATGCTGCAAATTGCTTTGCGCTCCTACCCCGTGCGTACTGTTTGGCACTTTGGATCCTTACTCAGAACAATTTGCTGTTTACTTCATATGTTTCTGCGGTACATGCTGATTCTCAGTTACATCAAAAGTGATTCGCTGATAAGATTTAGGGTAATTGGCTTAGACAACTAAATAATGCAGTCTTTCCTCGCATAAGAGATTGAGCATTTGTAACCGAGATGGCATGTTCATCTCATTAACGATTGACTGAAGGTTGACCGTCTAACACCAACTCGGTCACTACCTTCGCAACCTTCGCCTGTTCATCTTGTCGCGTGGACTCTCGGGACATCTCTTGTAAATACTAGTTTTGGATGTACATCAAACCCTCAATCGATCATGTCATCATGTCCATGATAATGTCCATCTGATTTTGATACAACTGGATACTCTTAGATCTTTAATACCCTTCAATAATGTCTTTAGATTTTCACGGCGATATCATATCAAATCAATTCTTGACTTGAATACTGTACTAACTGTATAATATCGTCGAATTTGATAAATTTGCAAACCCACTAAAGTTGAGTAAATTTAGTAGATTGCCCTTAAATCTGTGTTTGAACCTGGAAGTTGATATTCCACACAATGAGACAAAACCGAACTACGCATTAAGTTGTGGTGTATGTGATAAAAAAATCATTTTTTTCTACTGTAGAAATCCAGTTGTGAAAAACATATTGTGACATGCTATATTTTTAAATTCGACATGAGAACGCCGAAGTAAACTTTACCCAACATCAGTGAGTACCATTGTGGTGTGAAAACCATGATACTTTTCACTTCATCAGACTTAAAAATGGATGTACCAGTGAAAATTTGTTTCGAGGTCAAATATTACAACAAAGATTAAAATACAGAGATATAGTCAAATCGATTTTCGTTTCCAATCCACAGCTGAATTACCAGGAAAATGTTTGTAAACGCATCCAAACAATACAAAACAATTTTAACGATTCAAAAACACAATCCTGTATAAAACAACTCTAAAATGTACAAAACTCACAATTCTCAAAACAAAACACAGTTTGATGTCGAATTGAAGTTCCGCAATCACACATTTTTCATCATAATATAAAAGAAAAATTAAAGCTAATTAAAGTCACTTACCTAATACGTTGCAACCGCTAATCTTGATCAAAACTGTAACACTCAAAAATCTGAAATTGAACTCCACCCTTTGAAACCTAACCAGCGTGAGCAATACTATAAATCTTAACATCATTAGATCTTCTTATTCACATGTAGACCTGATTTATCAGCTGACTATTAAATAATTTCTGACACCCTATACGTATCTACCACTACATAGGAGACCGTTTGCGATTCACGAGACTATAGAGGCATAGAGACCGTTTGCTGACTTTATTCACTTCGTGCATGATATCTTATATTCCTCTGCCAACAGATATCATGCACGAAGACAACTGTCCACTCACGAGTTGATTAAGGAGTAAGACTCGAATGGATCTCCGAAGAAGCACAAATACAATCAATTCACAAAATAAAGCGACTTCTTGTTCTGCCTACCCCTGTTCCCTCGGTAAGTTTTTTGTCCACGATCAGATTGATGGCGACGTACAGTTGCGAACGCTTATAGTTTCTACAGAGGAAGTGGTCGTAAGTGCTTTAGAAACACTGCTTTGGAGGCCCAGGACTGTGAAGACATGGTGCTCTATGTTATGGTCGCGGTTAATACACTACACGTTCTGTACACGAAGTACACGAAGTTCGGTGGGCTAGACAGATTTTCCTCAAATTCCACTCCTCGTGAGAACTGATCACATGTAGCAAGATTCTTCGTAATCAAATATGTGGATCCTTGTGTCTGAGGCGTGTTGGCAGATGAGTAGCTGTAATCAGCAAGCCTCAGACTGGAATCACAGTAAACCGTGACTTTTACACTTTTGCAAAGGTTTATGAAATATGTGAAGAATCGATCCCTCTCCAAGGTTCTCCATACATTTGTGAGCAAAACATTCACCCCATACTAACCCATTGTGTCCTTTCTTGTCCTGATTTTGATCTTAGTTACGCCAGGTGATTGGAAGACATTAGATAACGATAAGTAGCTCAACAATGGACAGGAATTGTGAATTCGCCGCTACCAAATTGTGGAATTCTGGCGACATTTTAGTGTATATTCGAAGATACGTGCGTCTACTACACAAAACAATTTGGTCAGACAACCTGACATTCAACAGCGAGATACTCCGCAAGAATGCTCCAGCAACAAATTGAGACCTTGCTGTACTGACTGTTGCAGAAATCTGTCTTCCTTTTAAAGTCTTAACTCGTCAGGCTGCTCTACTGGATCTTTCCTCCTGGAATCAGCATTCCATGCAGCAGGGAACTCACCTTAGCCACATGGCACTATCACTTCGGGCCTGTTATCATCAGAAAAAGTACGGAAAATAGTTGTCTAAAAGTTGTTCCGTCTTCAGACTTCATATCTTTAGCTTGATTACATTTCATATACATCCTACACACAGAACTGTCGAGCTGTCATAACCCTAAAATGTAGATGGACGACGCCGGGTCCGCTGTGAATCCCTATGATAAAATTCTAAGTCTACAGCTCCAGATGGTGAGCATATGGTACACTCTGTCCCATGCAAATCTGCAAAACATATGTGCCACAGACTATAAAATTAACCCCGAGTCTCTAAACCTGCAAGTTATTAATTAAAAGCATTTTGCCCCAGCGGCCGAAAACCACAAATCTAATGCGTAAATTTTGATGATGTTTGCACAGGACACATTATAGTAAAATGTATCTATCAGTTGGCAGAGATCAAACATCAACATTAACAGATACTCCAGGCACCCACAGAATTTGCGCGAGGGCCCCCCACCAAGTACAGAAAATGACACCAGTTTGTAGAAATCTGGTCAATCGGGGCTGAGAACGGAAAGGTCGAAGTCTCCTTCATTCGCTTGACCATGAGCCAGCAAGTCTTGTCTGTACACGTCCAACACAACCGAGCATCCCAGTCAGTGCAAAGCAACTTTTGAACACAAGCTTGTAACCACTGAAGTGACCTGGCACGAGGTGTATGAAGACGACTCAAATCAACTTTTGACACTGTTGCATATTCAGATTGATCGACTTAAAACAATCGGCAGGAGACATCCTCGAGGGTATCAACTCTTTCGCTGCAACGTTTCGTTTTATTTTCTGAACTCAGGTAAAAGCAATAATCAAAAGAACTTTAGAGAAGACAGTAATCCTTACCGGATTGAGACATTGTTCGAGTTCAAATACAACGGATTGAACATCTATACGTCTGTAACTACGTTCTCTTTTTATCTTCTTCCTCGGCGGCATTGGCTTCTTTCATTCTCTTCACAATCGCATGGGCAGTGTTGAAGACCCCATTCGTAGGCTTGTTGCAGACGAAACAATGCTTATTTCTTGCGTGATGCTGTATTGAGTACAATGCCAACAAATCAGTTGATAGCCTCCACAAAAGAAAAGCCGCTCTTAACGCTAGGTAAACATCAAGGCTTGTCTAAGATTAATATAAGAACCAGCATACTCAAGGACAAAGACAAGATACTCGACAGAAAACAGGACAGAAGATTGCCTTCAGTGCACAATGTTCGCAAAAATAGTGCTTGCAGTGTGTCATGACTGGTTCTTTGAAGGGTTCACGGCAGATGAAACACGCGAAAGGTAGCTCGTCATCTTCATCACTATCTTCCTCCCCAGCCTCCTCTTCTTCGGGAAGTCCTTGTACTATTCTGTCCTTCTTCTTCTTCTGAGACTCGTCCCACTCTTTCTCCATTTGCCAGCCCGACTTGTAATCACCTCGATCATGCATGAATTTGCAGGAATCTCCATAACCACAGTAACCTGTTTCCTTGTAATCTTTACATATGTCTGGCTGATAATCAAACCGGACAGACCACCTGATATGTGCCGACGCTCGTAAAGGGCCGTGCGCACCTCCAGCTTTCTCACCAGAAATTGTGTGTTCTCTCCTGAATCCAGCTTTGTGATCTGTATAAGCATTGATACCTTTATAGACCTTACTGCTGGCACTATTGTTTCCCTTGAGTGCCTCGTCAGCCTGTTTCAGAACCCTCTCTCTAATTGCTCTGGCATCTCTATCAAAAGCTGTTTCCGTTTCCAACGTGGCAGTAGCCCTTGAGTCATTCTGTGTTTGAATCTCTCGAGAGGATTCGAAAAAGAAGACTCCCTTCTTCTCGCCGTCCGGACCTAATTTTTCATCTTCTTTCGTTCCCTCGTCCACGGCAACAAGCTTTTTGGCTGGACCAGTCCCTGACGAAAACTCTAATCTGCCATCACTTTTCTTTACTGCCTTCAACTTTTGCACAAGACCAACATCTTCGTCTTCCTCATTATTTTCTGAGGTTCTTTTTCTCATGTTCTTATTTCTCACCGACTTCTTGAAGAAAGTGCAAGCTGCAAACAGAGAAGTGACAATATTAATCTACATGAGTAGAAAGATGATAACCAGCACGGTTAGCGTAGTCAACCTGACATAAACCCCTTGAAATCATGTGATGATTCGGCTTTACAGCAAGCTACACTGTCCAAGTTACTTGCCGAACCATACACCTAGACAAATGTGACAAGACCAAAAAAATGGGGTCATACAAGTACCATACGAGGCAATTACAGTAGCGAAAGCTGCTCACACATGCGTGATTCAAATGGAGATGCCAGTGAATAGGGTTGAGACCCGGGCCAATTCAGATGATAAGAGAAAGCACGAGAAACGTACACTCCTCTGTACTCCCAATACGACCATCCGTTCTCCTTGCTGCATTTTCAGCGTTCTCATCGTTTCCGGCAGCAGAAGTGGCCACACAACTTGCAGGCTCCGACTCATGAGTCATTGGCCTGGTTTCGGCGATGTAATCTACAAGGCGAGCAGTTAATAGCACAGGTCAGTTCTGGGCATTGAAAACAACCGAAATTCAAGACTTGACATAAAATCATCTGCAGGTGTGTATCGATCATCCTTTTAGTCGTCAAGACTACTCTCAGACGAGAAAATCATCCTTCCCTAGCAACTGGAGCTCCACTAGCATCCACAACATCATCCCTAAGCCGTAACTATGCAAGATTAAACTTCTATATCCCTTCCAGGAGCTGCTCAAGGTTATGCTGCACTAACAAATGCAGCATGAGAGGGCCCAATTGAAATTTATTCAGATCTCCTCAAGTATTCGTCGATCTCAATTCGGCTGCTCTTTACCCCAATCGCGAGTATTCGGACCAACCCATCTTGTACTTTCTTTTCCATTTCAAATCGAAACCAGACAGCGCTCTATAAATGTTGCACAGAATCCGAATCTAGCCAAAGCTCGTCCCTCACCGCCGAGAAGAAAAAACGAAAAAAAAAGGCATGGTGCAGATCAAAAGCGTGACCAAATTCTCACCTTCAAAACCTCGGTTTCTTTCTCCGACTCTACCCGTACCCCGACAATCGAAGACGTATAGCGAACTGTACAGATAGACAAGCGCCGCTTGGAAATTGCCTTTGTTAAATTACAGGGGACGAAAAGACGAAAAGCGCAAATTACAGGGGAAGATAGATAAGCTGGGCAGAGGATACGGCACACAATAGGCGATAGAATCTCGAGCAGTGGAATGTTGGGACAGACTCTGTAGGGTACTCTCAGACCGCGGGTCGCTGCGCTACCCTAAACATGTGCTCGTTCCGAAATCCTAGTCCTGTCGAGCGTTGGCGCTTACGTTCCAAAGGAAACGAAGTAAAGAATAAGTTCGATTCCGGAAAGGAAGTCCCACACTGTGAAAGATGAAACCAAGGGGCGAAATATGCGCTACACCCAATAGCATCAAATCTGTTCTCTTCGAATAAAACTATGATATGATTTAGTTTCTCATAAACATGGGAAAGCCTGCTTTTACTTCCACGTGAATCCCGTGATTCATGGGATATATATATATATATATATATATATATATAAACAATCACAACGTAAACATAAATAAAGAACCACTATGTCTACTCCAACCAAGTATAATTATGACCTAATAAAGTTTATAAACCGAAAATGAATGAAGAACACTAAAAGGCAATGTGCTCTTCATCCAAGAAAAGAGAGTCACATCCCTAAACTCACAACCATCATTATCATTGACACTAATATAAGCGATCCTCTTTATAACTTGACCATTTCTCGATTTGAGCGTGTCATCTTTGGGCAGTGCCATGTTAATCTTCTCTATATAGTTCCAAATTTATGGGATGCCCCCAAGAAAAAATACATATCATATACTTTATTGAGATATTTTCAAATGGTTCTCAAGAGCCGACACATACTGATAATCATGAATTTATCTTTTTCTCAAATAAGCCATAACAAAGAAAATAAAAGTATGAAATCTAATTATTATTATTTTAATTTTATACGAATTTTCATTGCAAATTTGGAAATTTGTATGTAATGAGATTACAAACTAAAAATATTTATTAATTTACTTAGATTGTTTAAATGTAATGAAAAAAATTTTATACTCTTGATTGAAGTCATGCGATGTATTATAGCACAAGAGGCCTTTCTATTTTTATCACATCTTGAATCAGACAGAGAATTTTATTTATAAATACAGTTTATTTAAATCATATATATAGCTCTACTATTTATAATAAAGTTTTGTTTTCAATGTGACATTTTTTTTATTAAGAAGATTACACAATGTATGATCTGAGATGAGGAGTAATTTGCACGTATAAAATAATACATCTTATCAAAACAAGATTATGATCAAAACTGTGGAATGTAATTTTTTTCTCAATGATGTTGGGGAAAATATGCAACATAAAATGAATAAAAATGAGTGGAAAACTATTTTTTTGTTATCCAGATTTGAATGAGATTGGCTTATGTAATTTTTAAAAAAATTTGAATTAAAATAACGTCAAAATAGTTTGAATCCAATATAACTTATGCTAACATTTTTTTTGCATTCTAATCAAATATCTTTCTATGCAGATTCTATTTGAATCTTCAAAGGGTAAATGTGTTCGTGGAAAGGTATTGACCAGATTGAGATCAATCTGGTCAATACCTTCACTTTGAAATGTATAAATAATAGAAAAATGGGGAATATAAATAAATAAATAAATAAAGCATCTCATTATTATAAGTTAAAGCAATTGAAGATTCAGTTATTTCATCAGTATATAATAACTAAATATCATAATTAAGATTCCATCAAAAAACTGCAATTTTTCACATATATATTTACCTCTATTCATTAAGCACATTGATATAAGGATTTATTGTTTTCAAAAAAAAATTGTGATCATATTTATTTCAAAAAGATTTGATAATTACAAAACTCTGCACAATTAGAAAAAACTTTTACTTACGACAACACAAAGAATATTTATATAAAATATAAACATGCATATGCTAGCATTCTTTGAAGATCCATGTTCTCGTGTTTCTATTTCATAGCTCTCATATATTTTTTTATTGTAAATCGATTCCAGCAATTTTATTTTTTATTTTTAAAAGAATGTAACTATATAAATATAACTGGTATTCCAGAAAGGATATGCTAGAATATAGATACGAGTAGAAAACCTAATGGGATTAATTTAGTAAGTGAGAGTAGTATGACCTAGTGACTACATTGGAGATGGAAATAATCTGTGATACGAGTCCATTTGGAAACAACGTGTAAATCCACGTTTGAAATTTTAAGTTCAAATATATATGAACATAAACCTAATTCATGTGAATTATCAGATATAACCTGTTTCTTTCATAACTTAGAAATGGGAGGAAAACGTTCCTTCTTCTACCGATTGAAAAGCCAACAAACCGCAGCGGAGTTTGTGAGTAATTGTTGGGATCGATGTATCCTTAGAAACCAAACTACACCTTCACCTGCTGCTTCCGATGGATTCCCGCAATCTTCTCCACTTGTTAATGCCCAATGCATGTACCCTGGCCAGGATAAAATTGGTCTTATGGGAGCAGAAGAGAAGTCGATGGTATTGATTCAAGATATGATCAGCCAAGATTGCGCGTGCCCCGGACATCTCTTGACCAGACTAATCTAGGATCCCGGGGATGCTTCATCTGTTCTATTTTCTATTCTCAGAAATAGCATGCGAGTGTCGGAACAAGTCAACAGATGGGGAGAAGGAAGGTGTTTGATACTCGTTCGGATTGTCCATGTAAAGCTAAAGCCAGGTTCCATTTGCAGCAAAAGCGATGCGCATTTGTCAACTTCAGCCTTCAATAGTTGTAAGCTTCGATCAATTTCCACCGATTGATTGACCTGGCTGTCTTTCTCAGACTGGTATGGCCTGCTGCTGCCATCCTGATGCAATTTCTTGGTTTCATGTGGATGTAGATTACCGCTAAGGGAAGTTAGAACTGTACAAAGTTAGATAATCTTTATGGCCTGAACGGACATGTCATGATGACCTGAACGCGCATTTCTGCTTCACGGAACAAAATACACGGTTTCGGAAGGTCAGAAGCTCAAAAGTCGTTTCGAATGTAGGAATTGACGGCAAACACTTTGACATTAGGCGAATATTACGATAGAGTTGGTTCTTGGTTTTTATTTTATTATAAATTTGTGATCCCGGTGTTGAAAGCACTTGGGAAGGCCTACTCACACATCCTCAATTTCGAGGCGTTTGCGCCGATCAATATGTGAGAGCTTTTGGTTCTGCCCTACGGTCGCGATTGTTTACCTTCTAAGTGTTCAGTTGTAGGTCAGCCACCAATTTTATGTTATAGAAGTGTTTTTATGGACATCGCTATGGTGCATATGTCGCTTGAAGTCTTCAGCTGGAAATAATCTTAGCTTCTTGATAACTATGGGTACACAATCCTCTCGAAATTCTCACACTCAGGGGATGTTTGCCCTCCTTTAATTCATATGCAAGGCCTTCATCCAGACCACTTCTAGATTCAGACAGTCAAATGATACGTAGCCTTAAATAATCGCTCCATCTGTTATAGCATTCGGATTGGAGACTAACTACTCTGTCCTATGTTCTGGGCGTGGACAATCTTGAAGGACTCATAATAGCAAAATTTTAATTATGCTTGCCATGAACTGATCTTAACGTTTTTGTTTATAGGGTGATTCAACCCTAGAGAGCAACCTATACGGCAATATTTCGGTTCACCAGCCATATTTTCCCGACAATTCAATCTTAATATTCGACCATGGATCATCGTACGAGGGGCAGCGAGCAGGTTTTAAGAACCTTAACCACTCAGGCTGCTTCCTTGTAAATTTCTTGTAGATTCTGAGGAAAAGTGCAGGTTAATCAACTACAATTGGAAGTACGCCGATATTTGTGGCAAACTAAATGGAACCCGCAGTTTCGAAGAGGGATGTAGAAAAGAGGAGCAAGTTTCAGCTAGAGAGTGCATGCTCAATAGCATTGGGGCCCTGTATTTCTCATATCAGACAGTCTTGATCTTATGTTCCACCCGTACAATTTGAGACACAAACTACCTTATATCGGACAGTTTACAAATATACAGATATAAAATTGGAAGGAGCGTTCGGTATCAAGAATAGACTCTGAAAGAACATCATGCCATTCTATTTCTGGACGTGTCAGCCAGGAGGATGAATTCTGAACAAGAGGCATCTACTTCAGAGGCTACATACAAACCTCTCCCTGTGATGATCTTCTACACTCAATCAGGACTACTTCAAATTCTTCTGAGTCAAACGTATCGTTTTGTTTTCTACATTCTACAGATATAAAGGCGATCAAATCTTCTCAGAAAAATCTAAACAAGCGTAGAATCATATTTTCTCATACTAATACTCACGTTCTAGTTATCAAAATAAATAATTGTCCACATTTTTTTAAAATAAATTATTCTTCAAACAACTTGTTTTCTAGGACTATTTGTTTAATGTAAAAAAGAAGCGGAGGAATAAATCATGCGGTTTTATTGTTACAACACAAAATGACCTTGATTTTGAGAAATTCTTGTTTTGCTTGTCAGTTTGTGGAAGTTTGGTCACCAGATGGCAGTGTTCGACGCTTTGCTGCTGGAACTAAGGCTCGCTTTGCTCTGGAAAGAATCAACAGTAAAATTGGTGAATCCAACATGAGGGTTGTTATGATAGAATCGGTCAAAGCAGGGGAACAAACTGTTGAGTTTGGACCAGATGCTGAACTTGTATCATATGGCAAAGGTTGGAGGTTACGAGCTGTACCCGGTACAACATATACAATGTCAATTTCTTGTTTCTCTGTAGGATTATTTACATATCTGGAAACACAAAATTCTGTTATAGTCAGCTCATTGTCTTGTCAATATGGGCTTTCAGTTTGACAGTGTAGAAATTCATTGTTATAAGGTTTTGCTTCCAAACTAGCATGTTCACCTGTTACCTGTATGTCATGTAGATCAGAGCAATTGCAAAGTTGGATTGAACAAGCGAATGAAAGAAAGGAGATTCCCCCCTATAGACAGAAAAAAACTTGTAATTCTCCACAGAAGAAACATGGTAAACTGGGACAATACTGACTTGTCATCCAAGTGGAGTTGGCCAACCGAAACGGACCACTTTCCTTCTCAAAAGCAGATGAGAGAGCAAGTGTTTGTAGGAGCAAGTTTTGCTGAGAGAAACTCAATTTTGAGGAAAATATATGGTCCATCTTCATACACACCCCGTAGGAGCTATTCTGGAGAGAAATCCTAGATTATATACCATAATTACTGTGACCAGGATACTGCAACATTTTGAAGAGAACAGAAAATTAGAGAGGAAAGAATGGGTAAGTGCAATGTATTAGAGAAGTAGTCCACCTCAGTCTGAAACTCGGAATTTGTCCATAAAACAAACATAATGGCAGAAGTTTGTGTTAGAATATATGTACATAAAAGCATCAGTTCTGTATTTCACCATACTCCAAAGTCCATGCTTGAGAAGGTTTGGATAACGCGTACGCTTCTTTCATCCTTCACAGAATCAGGTCAAATCGAAGTCAAATAAGTGTAAAAAGTTTGGACTTCTTCTCGAACAGATATATTGACCTCAATTCTGTGATCAGAATCTTACGTAGGGATTCACAATGAACGCTCATCCCAAATGCGGAACGTGACATCATTCGAAGTGAAGTGCGAGACGCTTGAAATAAAATAACACGCGATGGAATGACACGTTCATCACCAGATCATATGACCTGTTCACTTATACCATGTAAACCACTGGTGACCCTCATACACTGAGAAGAGATGGTCTTCTAAATAAACTAATAGATTTATTTGAAGAATTTGCATCAGTACTTCATGGAAATATTTAAGTGCGAGAAGCATTCGTAGATCTAAACGTGGGTTACGTGAGTTGACCAGCGCATATTACTCAAAAATTTCTTTCCAAAGCGTGATCTACATAAACTCACCTCATTGTACGTTTCTTTTTTCACACTGCAAGTTCTATCCGTCGATTTCGAAATTTAATTCTAAGTAGGGCATGAACAATGTTTGACATCTGGATATCTGCTACATATTTGTAAATGACATTTGACCGAAAAGCAATCCACTGGGGGTTATATCTAAACTCATCCTTCCTCTTGTGTTGTTTGAATTTCAGAGGTGTACTATACAAGGATGGAATTTGCACTACCTAGAACATGCAGTTCCTTCTGAAACGTTTCTTTAGTGGAAATGAAATATACTTGATTCAAGAATTCATGTCCGGTGATGAGCGTTTGGAAAAAGATCTATTCATTCACATATTGACATTCTTACAGCTCAAAGAATATTGCGAGATACTACCTGGAGTTATATACATTATCCTGAAATACTGTCTGAAAAGCGAACTTACAACTATATAATATATAGCCTCACCTGGACGCATGTTCTTTCGGAAGGCGAACGAGGAGATCAGCTGAGAAAATTGACCTCTATTGTCAATGACGAGTTGCTGATGCTGATTGACCACACCTATCATCATAAAAAACCTGTAGATACAACTCAAAATGCCAGGAGATCCGTAACCAGGATATCTCCATAAAGCTCAATTAGTTGGTGTCAGGTACACGGTCAGCTACATATGAAGAGTCCCCGTTTCAATGAGGGGATAAAGCCGTCTTTTATGTATGTACAAGGGATAACATGGGACATACGGTCCAGTCTGATAAACTATCTCATCTTCGCCACCTAAACTGCTTGTTGTACACGAGGTTCGATAAGGTCTACTTGGAGCATTAGTCTATATCCTTGAGAGCTTCCTGCACAAAAGACAGAAAAAGAACATTACAACAAGGTCTTGAAAACTCCTTTCAATGTTACATACTTGCAAGATCATGCTAAAAGTTTCCAAAGGATCGGGAAGCTTGATCGAACATGATCAGGTTCACCTTGGCAAGGCGCGTTACGTAAGTTGCTGCAAAAATTGTTGCAGCAAGACCTAACCCCAGTGTCCACAACTGCTCAGGGGCTCCTGTCCAAATCTGTTCGGCCTCCGATTGCTGCACAACGATTTCAGAAAGAAGTTTGAAAAAACTAGTGACTACTACTAAGATCAGGATGAAGAAATTAGTGTTTACACTTTGAAGAACGTTTGTGAAAATTTTCAGAATAATTGTGAAAAGGAGGCGATTAACACACAAATCATATTCAGATAATCCTAGAAACTTACGATGAAAGCCCTGCCGATTGCGCCAGCACTTACGTATGCCCAAGTTCCAGGCAACATTCCCAACCAGCTGCGGTGTCAAAATAGCACATCAGAGTCATATTATTAACTCAACTGCTGTTGAGGACTATAATATAAAATTGATAGGGCTAATCCACTTATATCAGCTATGCCATAACTTTATTCAACACCTCATATTTTAAAGAAGGCTAGCAGGACGTACCTTCCCAAAACATACGGCCCAAGCTTCACTGAAGTTAAGCCGTACAGATAATTGCCCAATGAGAATGGAAGCAAAGGGCTCAGCCTTAGTAAAGTCACCACCCGAAAGCCGTCCTCACCAATTGCTTTGTCAATAGCGAGAAACTTCTTATTGTTCTTTGCCATTGCAAGTATTCGATCACGTGCTAGATATCGAGCAATTAGAAATGCACCTGTTGCAGCAATCTGCGTCGAGAAGGAAAGGACACACATAGATCTGAGATGGTGTCCTGATCATGCAGGGTGTAATGTGGGCTGGGCATAAAGTCAGGCATATGCCAATCTAACCTCACTAGATCAAAACTATCAAACAAAAAGCTAAATAACAATTACACGAAAATTAGTGACTTCAAACAACAGAACAAGTACTTACTGTGCCCGCTATAGAAACGATGATTGTGCCAACTCCAGTACCAAAAAGTAACCCAGCTGACATAGTGAGAGGAATTGCCGGTATAGCTAACACCTGTTTGTGCACAATCATTTTCACGTTACACTCAGTTGCTATATCAGTTTTCTATTAAACACTATAATAAAAATTTCCACGAAGGAAAGAAATTCGGAGCAGTTATGTACTTCTGCATGGTGTAAGAATCTGTTACGCTTGTACTGGAAAAAATGACATTCCATCCACTTACGGTATACTTTCAAGATTAAGTAGATGTAGGGGCCATACCTCCAAACTGGCGTAAACAAGAACGAACAATCCATAGCCAGCAGGTCCATATCCTTCACGTTCAGAAAACAATCAGTCAAAAAATCTATAACCCAATAATGGTCTCACAAGCTTACTGGTACTAGCTTTTGACGCAACCTTATCAATCAACAAAGCTACATAGTCTGTGCAACAGTCAAAGTACATTGCCTATAGTTTCCCACAGATTGCCAGAGCTACGTGTTCTACCGCTGACTAAGAGGTGCCTATGTGACTAAATGTGGGAAGCTATCTAATCGGCCCTCGATTGACTCGGAAATCCACCCACTATGCTAATGGTAACTGTGCGAGAGTCATGATTGTAAACCGGATTCCAAATCTGTTTCAGCCTTTACTGTAATAATCCACCTAATGTTGTTACAGGTTGGTAGCGTCATAGCAACCAACTATAAATCGAGAATTACCTTCAATAAAATCTGAGAATTGTATCAGTATTGCATTGATCTGTTCCTTGTAGAAAAAACCAAGAGCACCAAATCCACCCAGTACTGCAACCAAACCCAGTCCAGCTGCTATTGTGCCAAGGGCTGCACCGCCTGAGAAACCACCTTCTTCTTGTTTTTGTTCCTCAACATTCCCCTCCTTGGACGCAGAATCATTACTGGAGCTCAACACCGGACTTGGTAATTCTGAGTGATCATCCTTTCTTGACAACCCATTTTCTCCAGTAGCAATGTGCTCCTGTTCCTCCTGTACCTCCGTTTCACTTCTCAGCTCCTCTTCCGCTTTACCGTTCCTTGGGACTGGAAATCTCTGAGGGGGGTGTGAGATATGAGTTCCATTCCTGTTTGACTGCGACACCACGTCCCTCTTCCTACCGGTATCTTTGGTGGCAGAGGCCCTCAGAAGAGAACGCCTTTGATCGTTACCAATTCTCAGACATGGCTGTCCAAGGGGTGGACCGGACAAAGATTTCCTCCGCAAACATACTCCAGCTAACGAACTCGAGAAGCGATGAACTGGATATACGTATAACAAATCATAAAAAGAGGAAAAAGAAGAAGTGCGAGCCTCGAAAGAACGCAAGGACATGAAAGCCCGAGCGGAAGAGGAAGGCATGCTCATACTGGCCACACGGCAGGAGCACCCAGCAGTATTGATCACATCGCTTCCTAAAACACAATTCGAGGTACAAGAAGAAATTCTTCCTGGCAGTAAGCCCACTGCCATATCAAACGCTCCCTTGCTCCAAAAACACCTCAACTGTTGTGCCTTATTTCTGATCGGAAACGAAAGCTTCGGACGCTACTGCACTGGACTCTACTACTCTCGAGTTCCTTCGTCTCACTCCATTTGCTGCGGTATCTCTCGTGAACCCAAGAGCATTGTTCGATTGTGCTGTGCACGAACGATCAATCTCAAAGTCTGGCCACGCTTCGCGTCGTGATTTCACTTTTCACCTTTGCTTCCCAGCTTTGCACAGGGGTGGAGGACGACCGACCGGATAAATTCATACCTCGAGGACTCGAAAGAGGCGACAGCAGGGTAAAAGACAGGGCCTTGATGCCAGACTCCTAAATATGTGTAGGCCAATCCTGTTCTTCCGGCTTTTACTGGCCAATCCTCCCTTCATTTTACCTTCGCCATAGCTGAGGGTTTTAGTGCGATTTCGAGACCGGAGACCTTTGTTTTGTTACAAGAGCATCGCTACCGGTTTGCTCTCGCAGTTTTGTCTCTTATACCCCACTTTGTTCTTCACTGAAATGTTGGACCGAAAATAGCACTAAAGATATTTCACTGTCGTAAATTCATTGTAGAAATTTCGTCGTTTGGAACTAATGTTTCTTCTTTCGAAACGAAGGGGAACCCAACGATGTGTTGCGTGAATCTACCCCTCGGTTGACGGTGGTAAATAAATCAAAATTTGCATAACTTGGTAAAAAAGAGAATAATCCATCAAAGGAAATGAATGCCCTTATCAAGTACCCTTATCAAGACTTGAGGGCTTTCTCGTTCTGCTGTTGTGAACTTGCCAGTCTGAGCTTTCACAGCATCATTCCGAGAGACTACTTCCTAAGCATATGGTAGATGATAGCACTGATTTGTTAAGTGCAAATGTCCTAGCATATCCGGTCCATTTTTTTCATTTTTTTTCACTATAATATTTATTGACCACCTTTATAGTGAAAACTATGAAATTTCAAATAATTTTTACAAGGAACGAAACAGGTTTTAGCCCCTATTTGTCTCTTCATCTATGCTATCCATGCCATACATAATATATATGCGACTTTCTATTCCTTCTTTCTTTTCTCCCAAAAAGAAAAAGAATATGGCGAATGTGCCATGATGGCACTGATTTGTTTAGCGCAAATGTCCTAGCATATCCGGTCCATTATTTATATTTTTTTTTTCACTATAATTTTTATTGGTCAACTGGATAGTAAAAACGATGAAAGTTCAAATAATTCCCACAAGGAACGAAACAGGGTTTAGCCCCTATTTTGCTCTTTCTCTATGCTATCCATGCCATACATAATCTCCATGCGCCTTTCTATTCCTTCTTTTTTTTGCTCCCAAAAAGAAAAAAAATATGGCGAATGTGCCAAGATCCCAACCAACACACGGTCCAAGCACCGTAAACCAAAAAGTTCTATGACTCTCAATTCCAAAATTCCTCTTCCTCCGATCTCATCCTGCAAGACCCCATGCTGCCCGCTTTAACGAAAATGCAGTAGTTTCTCGGTTACATTCCGGGAAGATCGCCTAATCAGTAATGTATGTCTTTGAAGAGGTTGATGTCGTCTCTGAACACGTCAGTGTGAGCAAACTTACTACAAGCCTATCGCAGTGAAACTTGAGACCTATGACGCTGAGCCTGCCTGTAACACGGACAGACGTGACGAGACGATGGGGAAAGTCGGGCGAAGAGATTGTGGACCTGGGACGTCTGTGGGATACGAGACACGCACGTGGCAAAGCATAATGCGAAAGTATCATACAAGCACACTTTGGATGCGCACTTCGACACCGTGTGCGTTGTACGTTGTTACTTGCAGCTTACCCCTCACGACCACGTGTCCTCCCCAAATGATAAGCAGTCACCAAGGTCACCTATGTGCGCACATCTGCTTGGAGTTCCCATCCTATTCTCAATTTAACCACAGAAACGTTTTTGTGGGTATCGCTGATCTACCGTTAGTATTCGGACATGACATTTTCTTGTGCGGACAAGCACACCTTACCGCAGTAAGTGCCTAGCAACTTACTTGCTCTCGACAATTTCACGACGATCTCGAGTAGTAGGATTGGAATCCTCGAGGACATATTCCTGCACTGACACGCATCGCAGCGTTCTTGGACACGTGCATTTTAAACTCGCACATCGTTCATTCTTACACCAGAGAAGATGCCGGAGGAGCAACTTGCTGATGTGGAAATTCTGGAAGCATTTTGCCATCTGCAATCGCAATCGGATGTAAGGCCCAATCTCGAGTCGATTCTTCCGAGCATAAGTGTGCAATCTAGCGAATTGTTTGTAACGTCTCTAAGCTACAATTGGAGTTCATGAATAAATGAAGAGGTCCCGATGTGGGTAAATTTCTCTTAACCATTTGGATTGTTGAATGACGTTACTTCTGTTTTCCCATTAGAGTATAGTACATAATTGACAACATGGCAACGGTGGTACGATATTTATGCCGGCCACTTCTGTCAAATTTTCTGCAGCATCATTGTATAATCTAAAAACATGAATTTTGATGGTATAAAAACCTCGATAGATACCGTATGTGTTTGTGATATCGAAAAAACACTTATCGTAGATAGTAGTCACTAGAAAGTGCAAGATTCAAGGCTTCAAGCAAATTCAAGATTTTGAAAGTGCAAGATTCAAGTCTCAACATCTTTGAATGTTGAGATGAATTTCGGATGTTGAGACTAAAAGAGCGCAGGTTTTATCGTTATTGGCCAATGTAATGCTTGTAGAGCTTATTTGGTCAACTTTATGTCTTTGCATGTTAATTTTTATGTTGTAATATTTACTTCCAATGCTTCATAGTTGAAAGAAATGATTGTGCTAAGTTGTGTTTGAGTAAGAAGCTCATGTGTTGAGCTATTTGAAATTATATTTATGTGCACACATTCTCTCCTGATCAACCTGGAATGTTCATTTATAAATATTATCAATATAATAATTAAAAACATGTGATTGAAGATGATTTTCAGCTGAATACTTACTTTCGAGCTGAGAGTGAAGTCATAATGATATTCGAGATTTTGTGATGACTTCTTTTGTAGATATTTTATATAAGCATAATCAAATTCATGAATGCTATTAAATAAATATAAAATATAAAATAAATTCTGAACATAATACAAAGTGCATTGAGCAAATTATATGTGATTAGACATTTGATGATGTCTGTACATAGTTCATATCTAACATCCTTGATTAATTTGTTCCTCAATCTAAAGAATTTACATGATATAGACAGGTCAACATTTTCAAATCTCAAGAAATAAACATCTTCATGCATGTGTAGATTCATCATAATTAACAGTCTAATTGATAATGAAATTATGATTTATGTTCTACATGCAAATATACATAATACACTAAATATGATCCCTAAGTTTAATCTTGAAAATATAGTGACTTTATAAATAACGTTGTGTTATGTGATTGTACTATTATTACAAGTTTATCTATCTTATAAGTATAATGAAATGACATGGCAAATGTATGAACAAATAATCTAACTTCATTGATCATTTAAGTTATCCTCACTTCATGTTTAAGCTGATTGATTAACCACATTAACGTTTGCTTATATTTCATGTTTATACAACCATGTATCAGTGTACACATATACGTCTTTCTTTGCATTATGTTTACATTGCATTAGAAATGTCCGGTTTGATTGATAAAGACATGATATGATTCTATACTGAACTTTTGAAAACAGTCATTCGTCATGGTTATTTAATATTCCAAAATCTGTTGTTCTTTCTAATTGAAAAATCGTTGGATGTTGTTTCATAGATCTCCATTATTATATATCCAAATTTTTTTGAGTCGTGTTTACACCATGAATCATTTCAAAAAAGTATTTAGCATGAAGATGACGCCAATTTGTTATTCCGAGCTCAAAAAGAAAATATGAAATCGGATGTTTTAGAAAGGTTCCAGAAATAAGCAAAAAATATATCTCGATGGAGGTAATGAAACACAGTGTAGGAGTAGAGAATTTAGAATATCGATTAAAATGGTCTCACATTAACATAGCACTGCTAAAAAGCCTTCTTACGCATTTGCAACCACTTTAGAAGTCAGTTACACTTCTTTCATGCATGTTTTAACCATGCAACTATTTAAATTTTTTAGAAAAAGTATCAAGATGTAGACACTGTTTCATATAATCAAAACATGGATACTTTTTAGTTTCATTTGAAAAAGATGAGATTATAAGGAATGATAAGACATATTTGTTAGAAAGTCATATAATTTGTGATCTCATCATTTCAACCATCAGACAATCTATACATATAAGTCATTATCTATTTGACACAAAATTACCGAAATGATATATGTAAAGTCCGTAACCTACTTCCATCTGTGAAGAAATATTTGTGAAATCCAACCCAATATTTGTGAATTTTAACAATATAAGTTTTCATATGAGCTAATTTTTCAGCATAAAAAATGTTCATTCCTAAAACAAATCAACTTCCTGTATTTGAGGCCCGTCACCATCAACTTCATAATATAAACATCTTGTGTGTCAAGATCCCTCTCGTAATCATAGAAATAAAAAATACAGCCAAGCCGTATGTGGACCTGATTAGAGGGAAATGTCATCACCATGGAATAAAGAATAGATAGCCAGGCCACGAGTGGGACCAAGCCAAAGTGGATGCAGGGTAAGTAGGTGGTGCAACTGCTTCCACGCATGCACTTTGATGGCAAATGTGCCACTATCAAAGTTGAAACAATCAATCATACTGTTATAATACTATTATTGACCTGCACACAGGTGACCACCGTTCACTGCGTAGTCCAACCTCATAGATTATGTACTAATCATACTGTCCAATAGCTTCCCATCTACAGATTACTCACTCTCACCACGTGAAAATGTGGCGTACATGCTCGACCTTCAACAGCACTAACCGTGAAGGTGAAGTATGAGCAACTCATACTTGAATTTCAGACTACAGTCACCGCCACACTGGTTGCAACGAAACTGTCGTTTTATGTCTGGAGAAACAAAGAAAACAAGAGCGTTTCCCGCTACTCTAGGCGAGTCAGTTATGTCCAGTGCGCACAAAGGAGCCTTATCTGCTTGACTGCATCGCTTCGACTATTGGCACTCTTAGAAACATACTTTAAAACTCGCAATTGAAATGGTTAGAAGTGTATGTCACATGTACTTGACAAGATCGTGTACACCTAGATCATCTTCGCCAGTTTCTCGCCAGTGATATCACCATCAACATGACAAATGACAGAGATGATACAAGCATCTTTTGCCACTTTCGAAGGATCCACTTTCCAAACCCTCATATAGCTACTGGCTATTTTAGTACTTCAAACCAGCAGAACTGTTTCTCAGGGAGAAAGAACATGATTTGAACAATTTCCATGACACTGTCTACATTACCTCAAAATAATCACCATCCTCAACCTGAACTTTATTTCTTCAGACTTTAATTACACGCTACGCCGGAAAGATCACATCCCCCAATAAGACTAGGAGTAAGTAGCTATCTGTCGGTTGAATATAGAGAAAGAGTAATACTATAATGGCCGCATCAAGTCTACAAAATTTTTTAATCCGTCAAAACAGCCGCACTGCTCGGTAACCCCGCATACCTGACCTCTAGATGTATCCGTTCTATCGTGGAACCGTTGTCAGGTGATATTTACTGGAGAAACTTTTGACATCGCGTGTCATTGTGGACAACTTTACAACGAGACGAACAGAATCGCGCCCCACACCGTGTACAAGTATAGGGAGCTAAGTAGCCGCAGACGGTGCAGAAGTGTCGTCTTGCGCCTGAGCTGGGCGGACCAACAGCAGCTTTGTGATACGTTGGTATGTGCGCCGGCAGCGACTCTAAATTGGCCTGTATTCATAAACGGTGTTACGCAACGTTAATCCAAATTTTAAAATTCAACATCACAACATAGAGCAAAAATTGCAAAGCTAATTCCACGAAATAATTAAGTTTTTGACAAACATAAGATATTTTCAAGTACACTGGTTCATGTCATCACGGTCACGATCTTTGAAATGTTAAATTCTCAGGGTCTAGAATGCAAAACTGTTGTGTCATGCTTTACAGAATGAGTCCATGGCTATATCCAGCTCTTTCCGATCTCTGATTGCAATCTACTTAGTCGGAATGGTTACCATCAGAAATAGTATACTGTATTGACAAATAAAACCTCAAATCACGTAAACCCATGAATTCCCTAGCAAAAATCTGACAGGCATTCTGAACTCATAAAATCCTGCTACGATCAAAGTCTGCACGAAAAGACCACCTCTTGTAGCAATTCGAGAAAACTTCGTGGAGTCTTCTTGTTGTTTCCTATACGTTCCATGGCCTGAGCTTTGGCTCTGCGAGTCTTGCGTTTCGTACCCTTTGCGGCCTTTTTCTCCCTGAATCCTGAAGTGCAGGTACATGCCCGTTACTTTAAGCCTTCAAAAGTTGCAAGACCAGTCGTAATGCAGAGAGCAAGGCGGGTCGGAAGAAACGCCATCAGGTATTGCCGTGTCGGAGAGAGAAACCCACAACATCACGAACGACCTGGAGCTCAATTCTATACAGACAAGAAGTTTGTAAACGCCAGACGCGAAGGTTAAGATACCAACCTTGTTCTTCATCGTCAAGAGAGGCTTCGTCATCGTCATCGACATCGATCGCCTCTACGGCGATGTTGTCATTTTCCAGGGCATCCAACCGAGCGAGAGCTGCCTGCACTCAAGCTGAACATGAACTTCACTCAAATGCGACAGGACATGCACATGGTTTCTCGAATTCGGCGTTTCGCAGCCAATGTTCCATTTTGAGAGTACAGTCACATGAATCAGACAATTTCGACATACATAAGGCACTGGCATTGACGAAAAGAAAATACAGGCGTGAATGGCATACTACTGCTTGCAAGAACGATTAGCGGTCTTGAAGAATTGGGTTTGACGACGGGCGAGTGAGATATTCATCCAAAAATTAGTTCAATGTCCAGATGAAGAAACCTGCAGCAGTTTACAGCCGGAAGCAGGAACAAAAATGAGATGAACAAACCTGGGCTCGGATGTTGGGGTCCGCGAGCACGGCGCTAACTTTTGCTCCGATCTTCTTCGCTCGCGTGGAGCTCCGCCGGAGCGCAGGTGTCCCGAGTTCGTCATCCATGGTACAAACAGAAACAGTAGAGAGGCTCTGCAGCAAGCTCGGATCCTTCTTTACACCATAAATAATTCCACCTTTTGATTCGCCAAAATCATGAGATACACTGATCAAGATCCAAGTAGGAACCTTATTCTTGTCAATTAACTGGCCTGATAGCCGGCGCTGCAAGCACAGGTTTCACGTATTCCAGCTGCTGCTTCATTCGAGTCAATATTGTTCTTAAAGTAATTGAAAAGAATCACCGCAGCTTCGCCGTGGCAATCGTCTAGATAACAAAGAAACGTCTCATGATCCCGTAGACGGACGAAATCGCTGTCTTGGCTTTAGACGATCGATGATGGTACCGTAGAGCCTACGATATGCATCCACCACTTAAAGAGGTTCATGTGATTATAAAGGTTAGAGCGACTTGTGGCAAATGTTTACTTCTCCACGATGCACGCTGAAAGCATAATCAGGGGAATGAACGTCGAGGTTCTTTCGCGCATTACATCGATCTTTCTATTGCTGCTTTTCGGCAGTGGGCAGAAACTAACGTTTACGGCAAACTAACACCATATCCAGAAAAATATCCTTCATGTACCGTCACACACTCACGATCTGAAGTGGCATTCACATAACATCTACAGAGGACACATCGCATCTAGGGTTTGAAAAACCCTAACCGGACCACAGACTGTTACTCCGTGTGAAGAGAGTGCGAGCGAGTCGGAGGGTTTTGGACTCGGAGGAAGTACACCAGGTGCTCGTGCGAGTAGGGAGGATGAGACTGTCTAGTTTTGTAGTGGCATCTGCTCCGACTTCCACATTTCGTGCTAGTGCATTCTTTGCTCCAGCAGCAGCTGCCTCTTTCACACCTACTTTCACTTCTTCGCTGGTTTCCACTGTTGTGGTGGGAAGCAATCTCAACCCCGTATTAAGAGGCCTTCGTCCCCGATTCGTGCTGCCGAAGCTAAGTAGAGGTGTCTCCTCCTGGACTTCCCCCATGGCCTCCACTACCACGTCCGTTTCTGAGCCCGTGCCCCCTACTGGTGCTACCGAAAAGGTAATTTGTCAGCTGAGATAAACTGGATGAATCGGCCCGTCTTCCACTGAGGTCGTGATGTTCGTGCGATTTATAGTCGCTCCGCTGGTCAGGATCCTGTTACTGAGGACCTACAGGTTGTCGGACTGATAATGAGGAAGTCAAGTGGACCTGTTTCAAGGATATTTGCAATATGTCGTGTGGCAATCGAGACAATGTCAGAGAGTGTGTGTGCATCTTCCGGTACGGGATGCATATAATGTACTGTTCGAACGGAAAGCTACCGTGCGGATTGTTCAATTGACGATCCTAATTGTCCATTCTGTCCATGGAATTTCAGAATGTGGAAATCCTGGGGAGTGTTCGCCAACAACTCGCCAACCTCATGAAGGAGTCACTCAGGGCCACTGTCCCCGAGCTGAGTGAAGAGGAACCTGTTGTCAGTGCTTGCAATAATGCAAAGCACGGTGACTACCAGTGGTGAGCATCCTGTATTCTCACTCGCGAGTATTATTTATCGTACAAAGTTTCGTGCAGCCCTGTTTGCTGTCACTAAATCTTTGATCGCACGTAGACTTTATTTTTTTTTTAAGACATTTCTTGGACGAATTTGACTTGTCGAATTGTATGGACCTCACTGTTTCGAATTGTTTGTGGTCTTCAGCAACAATGCCATGGGTATCTTCTCAAAAATCAAAGGGAAGTCCACAACGTACAAGAATCCAAATTCTATTGGGCAGGTACACCTGTGTTTCTTTTTACGTGCCGAGAACGTAGTCTGTTGTGTGCTGCCATGCTACTTTCGATAGAACCAAATTGATTTTTTAGCTCATGCTCCTGCCTTTTTTATCCCGCAGGCTATAGCTAAGAATATTCCGGAGTCTACCTTCGTGGAGAAGACTAGTATCGCTGGGCCTGGATTTGTGAACATCGTTTTGAGGACAGACTGGATTGAAAATGTAAGCATAGCAGTGTTTGTAGTGATTCCATCGTAGCTTTTCTCAATTCGAGATTTTTTGAGTTCTAACCAGTATGTTAGGTTCTATAGAAGATTTTCAGTAATATTTCTTATCGCCGTTCGACTCAATGTTAATAATTTACTTGTTCAGGTGTGTACTTGTGAATAATGTAGCAGCAGGTTGTTGCGGTCCTCGTTCACTTCCATTTGTTCGTATGGTTCTTATATGTACCCAGAACATGCGACTTTCAGTTCAAATTTTTTGCACTTATCGGGAGGACCAAACTCACGGTGAATATATAGCTGGATGCCAGGCAGTGTCAGCTAATAAATGATACGGGGACTTGTTGCAGAGAATTTATCAAATGCTGGTAAATGGAGTGGGTACCTGGGCTCCAGTTCTACCTGTGACAAAGGCAGTGGTTGACTTTTCGTCACCAAACATCGCGAAGGAAATGCATGTCGGTCATTTGAGATCGACTATCATTGGAGACAGTTTAGCGCGAATGCTGGAATTTTGCCATGTGGATGTGTTACGCCGCAATCACGTGGGAGACTGGGGAACCCAGGTGTTTGTCATCTTCTCTCTATAAGCTTTTGAATTTTTATGAATTCAGTTGTTGGCTCTACTCGTATTGGCCATCTGTAGTAAAATATAGTCGCTGCATTATCAAGGAAGATAGTCTAGATATTTTTAGGTCTGGTTCAAATCAAGATATTGAAAATGTGTTACACGTTAATAACGTTATGTTTTGATACTAAACAAGAGGTGCTGATGTAGTGACAGTTTGGAATGCTGATCGAGTACCTGTTTGAGCAATTTCCCAATTGGGAGGATATTGGAGATCAAGCAATTGGCGACTTGCAGGTTAGAATCATCAATGATTCAAGTTTTGTCTGTGGGTTAACTTCTGAATGTTCCATGCTTGCCTGCATGTCTTGATTTCGTCGTTAGATTTTTTGTGTGTTCGCTTTTTTAAAGAAAACTTGGATGTACATGCAACATACTATATCTTACACAGTCACAAAAGTATGGAAAGGGGATTTAACGTAAAGAGCTCTGATTTTTTCGACTCATTGTCCGTCGCGGGCAATTTATAAAGCTGCAAAGAATAACATCTTTATCATGTGCTTCGCAGGCGTTTTATAAAGCTGCAAAGTTGAAGTTTGATGATGATGCGGACTTTAAGGCCAAAGCCCAGCAAGCTGTTGTTTCTCTTCAGGTACTGATAAGCTCGATGCTATAATGCCCCCATTTCCCGATCTTAAATTTCTAACACAACTCACCTGCTTTGTTCTCGCTTTGACGACTTGCCTTTGTGTCTTGACATAGGGTGGGGACGAACAATATCGAGCAGCCTGGCAAAAAATTTGTGATATCAGTAGACGAGAGTTTGACCAAGTCTACAAACGTCTCCGAGTCACTCTGGAAGAGAAGGTGCAAGCAAGTCATTATATTTCAGCTTCCAACGTCACTCAGCAGTACTAGCCTCAAGAGAGCATTTCTTTTTCTCTCTCCGGTTGGTTAAATAGTATTGGAGATCTGAATTGGATATCTGAGTTTGATGAACTCGGATTTGCTTGTCTCCGGTTCCAGGGTGAAAGTTTTTACAACCCGTACATCCCCGATGTCGTCCAACAACTGAGAGAGAAAAATCTTATCGAGGAAAGTGAAGGAGCACAAGTGATCAAGGTTGATGGCTTCGAGATCCCACTCATTGTAATCAAGCGCGACGGGGGCTTCAACTACGCAACCACTGATCTTACTGCTTTCTGGTAATTTACAATTTGGATACTCAATTACACAATGATTTCTAGGATAGATGAGTGTGTTCTCACGCTCTTTATTGGCCCAAATAATATGCCAATATGGAATTGGAGGAAGTCACCATTTGGTTGTAGGTTGTCAAATGCGAATACTGCAACAATTGTTGGGAGGTGTGTTAGATCGCTTGCACCGCATAACAGAAATGCTCAATGTTACTGCGTAAACGCTGGAAGGAAATCACACGCTGGCGTATCTGTAGGGAGCGGCGATGCATTGAATATCACCATATTACGGTGTATTGTTATTGGAGATTAACGCTTGCCAACAGTCTATACTGCTCGTCCCCTTGTTATTAGACTTCTCATGGCTGGAATTTCCTCTGACCTTATCCATCTGAATGCTTGCCATTCATAGGTTGGAAGCTCTCTTGCCTGGGATTCCATCCACCGTTCTGGCCTACACTGAATCTCATATTTGCCTTTAGTTCGTGTGTAAGTACATATGCATATACATATTCCTATCACAAGGTCACCGTATATTCTTCACATGTATGAACCTTGGGCTCTGACACAAAAATAATTTGCTCAACCGATACGGTTGATCATTGCAGTAGGTATCCTTCGTAATTGTTTTGTCTGTCGAATATGGTTCGTTCTCAAGATTTTTGTCTCATGTGGGAATTCATTGTTGTTTGAAAGTAATTCTGGCATATTATCCTGTGCTCTTCCGTTGCTCAAAGTTTCTGTATTGCATTTGCTATCCTTGTGATACTTTATCTCTAGCTTTTCTATCTAACCGTATGATATCTCGGGGTTATTTTTGTACTCTATGGCACTGTAAAGCTTGAGAATGTGTTGGATTTTGAATCGGCCCTGTCAATCATACATCACTCGAACACGGCCGCAGGTACAGAAAGAATGTGGAGAAAGCTGAATGGATCATTTATGTAACGGATGTGGGCCAAGCACAACATTTTGATATGGTTTTCAAGGTAAGGAAATCATATCAGTTTATCATTCTATCGATTTCTAGCTTTTGACACTTAAAATGGACGACATACGTGTCTTTATGTATATCCTCTGTGCTCAGTACAGAATAGAATTAATGTGTAGTGGAAGACGTTGGACAGTTATTTGTGGCACCAGATAATAGGGTAGGGGAAATATACGATTCCTGGACTCCCGGGTTATGTCTTAAGTTACCGGAATTTTCATTGTCTATCCATCTTCTGGGCCTGCTAAGTAAGCAAGGCAAGGTTTTCTGCATGAGGATGTAAGTGAAAGTAGATCCTGCTGCACTCGACGTTTCCAGGATGAAACGTTTTATAGTTTTTTTATGAGGGTTTCGAGTTCTCCTGCACGGAGTTTGTGCATGAGGGATTTTCACTGAGGCTGTGAGTTCACAAACGCTTAAACTTGAATGAACGGAAGTTCTAGTGACAAGGCCAAAATTTTAAATTTGTTCGACTGATTTCGCGCAGGCATTGAAACTTGCAGGGTGGATCCCAGAGGAGGGCCAGCTTCCTAAGGCCAAGCATATTGGATTTGGCCTCGTTCTTGGTGCGGATGGTAAAAGGTTTCGCACGAGGAGCTCGGAAGTGGTTCGCCTCGTCGACCTTCTAGACGAGGCCAAGAACCGGAGTAAAGACGAACTTGTCAACCGAGGTGATATTCTTAGTCTATTAATTGGGGAAGAATTTTTTTATCTTCCTTCTCTTACAAGATTTTTGCAGATCCATGTTGAAGTGGCTTCGTTAGTTTTGCTGCCTGGATTAATCATCTTTTCTTACTTGTTTGTTTCTTTCAGTGTCTTAATTGTCTAATTTCAAGTTCTATGTTTCTTTCAGGTAAGGATAAAGAGTGGTCGGCTGAAGAGCTTGAAGCCGCTTCAGAAGCACTCGGTTACGGTGCTGTGAAGTACGTACATCAACACTGTCTCCTCCTAACGAAAATTGTGAATATCACTACAACACGTCACTTTACAAGCACTTTTAATCGGGATAGCTACTGCAGTTTAATATATACTTCTTATCTCAGTATAGCTTTGATATATTTAGCTTTTGTCACCCGATTCCAATTCAATATCTAGAACATTCGCACGATACTAAAACTATCCTTTTTATCGAAGCACATGTTCGTACTGTCGCTGGGCATGCAGTTTTGCTACTCTTTTTAACTTAAGTTTTGACCAGATTAGGATGGTTACAGAGCTATTGGATGCACTTTTCACTTGAAGACTGATGTAGATTCCATTTGTTACAATAATTTGTACTCTGTTAAAGGTACACTTGACGAGGCTTTTTTTGAAATGATGAATGCTTTGTGTCCACAGGTATGCTGACTTGAAAAACAATCGTCTAACAAACTACACTTTTGACTTCGAACAAATGCTCGATGTCCGGGTAAGGACAAGCTACGTCAGCTACTTTTTTTGGTCCATTATCTAGCAGTTTTGTCTTCTCTCGTTTACCACGGCAACTACTAACCCGAGAGATTGCTGGACTTCGTGACGCAGGGTAATACTGCTGTCTATCTGTTGTACACACATGCGCGTATTTGCTCCATTTTACGGAATTCGAAGAAAGATATCGAAGAGTTGAAGAAGGTAAGTTCACCGGGCTTTCACTACAATTTTCTTTATCTGCGGCTACTTGAGTTTATGTTGAAGTAGTCAAATCCACGATCGTGGATCAGAACGTGGGGCTTTCCTGGCTCTCGCTATGTTTCCACACGTTGCATGTCTTCATCCTTCACATTTTTCTTTGTCTGATCGTTGTTTATTGCTGCAGTCGAACTCACTTGCGTTGACCCACCCTAGTGAGCGACAGCTCGGATTACATCTCGTCAGATTTGCTGAGGTAAGTACAACGCGAAGAGGTTTCCGAAGTGTTTTTCTGTGTTTCATGGGCTTCTTGGATGTGTTTTACTTGTCTCGTCTTCCACTCTACTTACTGCTTTGGATGGCGGACTTCGCGCAGGTTGTCGAGGACTCTGTGACCAACTTCCTGCCGAACGCTCTATGCGAGTATCTCTACAGTTTAGCGGGGATGTACACAGAGTTTTACACCAATTGCAAGGTACACCTCCGTCAATTTTCATCCATGCCTAAACCCTCAGTAGTTAGTACTAATGATTCTCGAAACAAAATATTTCAAACACGTTACTTTCTGTTTTTTCGACACCTTTGTAACTGGATGCCCCAGCTAAAATTGAATTCGTGGACCTCAATGTAGACTGTGCACTCTCGGGATGTTTTTTATTGGAGACTGAATGTTGTACTCGTTTAACTCATTGTAACTCGCGTGGCTGCAGGTTATAGAGTCCGAGGAGGAAACAAGTCGGTTGCTTCTATGTGAAGCCACAGTGGTTGTCATGCGAGCATGTTTCAGCCTTCTTGGCATCACTCCTCTGTATAGGCTGTAGGAAAGTTCTTATATATTTTTCCCTGGGTGGTACCGGCTCAAGGATTCAAAGATTCAAAATATTAAAGACATCAACTCTCTTATTCATCGTCGCTATTCACGGACGATGGATACCATCTATACTGTGGGAAATATCACCTTCAAAATTGTAAAATTCAGGGTAGAGATGGGATGTAAGACCTCGTTAGGGCAGTCCTCAACTAAAGAGGTCTTTACATAAAGGTCCATCATTTCAAAGTCACTTGACGTTTCAACTTTGTTTTGTTACTGGTGGAAAGACGTTCATACTTCATATCTGTATGGTTTTTTACTTTATGTATCTAAGCAACCAAGAATATCTAAATTGGAAAAGAGAAGTTGACTTTATTACGTGTATTTCTCGACGAGTCCGTTCCGGAGATTTATCTACACTGGCTTGTCTAATGTGCGCAACGAGGTGAATTCGAGGACAATTTGGTCTATAAAGTCTTTGACGAAAATACAAAGTTTGGGACCTTCCCGTTTCTCCTTAGATGTGGAGGGTGGGCACTTTCTCTTGGTTGATACTAGTAAATGTCTATGTGCAAATCGGGGATTGTAGCTCGGAGGAAGTCAATCCCGCAGTACTGTTGCAGGACCTGGCCAGCACCCTCCCCGAAAGGACGCATGCGTGGTTGGAGGCAGCTTTCTACTTGGCGAGAAACAGGATGACGAGGGTCTGTAATGATGTGGGAGCATACGAGCTGAACATATCTGACTTCCGCAGTAAATCGTATGCTACGCACGGAATGATGGGGTGCATGCACAAAGTCCGACATATGTTCTGTGAACTGGGCGCTGCGGGGATTGGCCACGAAGCAGTATCTGTGGTCTATACTGAAACTGTGCGTACCGTGGGATGTTAAGTTAATGTGTTGACCGTCATCTGGACATTATGTATAGGTGTACGGGATCGTGCTATGGTCGCATTTATGAAGGGCTCGTTGGAATCGAAACTGCAACCAGATGGAGAGATGTGGGTTTGTACCCACCTTGTACTCGCCTTGTACGGGTGTTGTCGACGTCGATAGCCAAATTTTACGTTTCGTCGTCATGTTACTGCTTATAAAGGTGAAAGCGAAACTGGATGTCGGAAACATTAAATGAGCTCCAAGTTTTGAAATCGTCACGAGGGAATATGTTTAATCTCGATGAATGAGGAAGAGTTCATGCATTTTGTCTTTTTCCAAAGTAAATTAGCCCGTTGTTCAGACTTCGATGGAAAATCTTAAACTTGGCAGATAGATATGTGTCGAGACTAGATAGTTGCCCAGCCAGGTGGAATAAGATGCAATCTTGCGGAAAAACTGTGAGGCAACTCACCGCCTCATATAAGAAACACGAATTGAAATGTAGACAAGTAGGGAAATTTTATGTTATAAAACGATCTAGATTTTGACTCCGTGCTATTTCAACGCAATATTTACTCTTAAATAACCGTATTGATTCCTGGGTTGTATACGTCGCCTTTGTTCCTCATGTATTTCAAAACATGAGCAGATGTTCAGGAAGGGTCGTTTAATAGTGTAAGAGAATGACAACATCCTCGCGCTATAAACTTTGCAATGTCCAAGTGTACCCAACGTTAATCGTCCGTGTATTCTTATGAAATATTCTGTTATTGATTGCTCGTCGGATCAAACATCGTCGCCCTTCCCTTCGGATTGATCTCCACCCAATGTTCAGTCTTCCAGAGGTCAGGCGCCATGAAGAGTTGGTTTGTGCTTATTAGTTCGAAGTCCGTCGTCTTCTATACGAGGTTCTCAACAACTTTGGTTTGTAGAGGTCAATGATACTTCCTAGACTTCTCTGGCGTCATGCTTCCTTCATATACAAGTTACCATACGATGCTGTAAAAGTAGCAAGACGCGTGACACTCAAACTCCTATACTGGAAGGCGAGGTCTTCACATTGCCTTCCAATCTGCCGGTGACTGTTCCTCACAAGCCTGGGTGTGCGCCATACCCACTCAGGTCTGGTGAGGTGCATGGAAGATCCAGGCTGACCTTCCAGGCAACACACCTGACTAATTGCAGAGCTACCAATTTACCTACCTCCTGCATTTCTTCCTTTACGCCAACGAAGACAGTATTTCCAAAGTCTCGCCGTCTCTTGAAGCATGTACCTGAAACTATTAAACGATGAGACCTCCGACACAACACCTTCCGTCCCCATGTGCAATGGACGAAGCTCAATCATGTGTTGCAAGTCACGAGCACTCGATAACGGGAGAGACCAAGCGACGCTAGACTGGAGGAACGTCGTCCTCTCGAAGTGCATCCACTTTCGATTTCGAAGATTCAACGTACTTACAGCAAGCTTTTCCTGACCAGATTACAATCACACTTTCTCTTTCGGAATGTAGATATTTACTCACTCGAAAGCTGCAATCGCTTGTGGATTTCAGTCAGCGAGCTTGAGCCCACATGTTTTGAAACCTGCGCTTCCGCCTCTCATCTTTCTTAGCCACCGGTCTACCGCGAAAGGGCAACTTTGGACAGACACACATGCTCCCTGCCATCCTACGCATAACGTCGTTGTATACATAGGACAAGTCCTGTCTCACACAATTCTCGACAACACCATGTCCATGATGCGTTGCAGCTGCAAGCTGGAAAGCGACCGGGACTGTTACCGATACTACCGGCACAAGCATGGACCTGGACCAGTTTGTTGACATTCCTTGCACGAAGCAGTGGTCCCCAACATGCGACATTCTGCGCTTCCTACCTTTCGATAAAACCTTGAATATGCGCAACATCCCAATGGTCTTCTGCTTAGTCAGCAGGGAACTTGCCACGACGGAGCAGGCGTATAAGAGCCTCAACACCTCCCCTACAGGATGCAAGGGCTGCTCTGCTGAGCGGCGTTTGCAATCCAGCCAGAACTTGCGGTATTTTCTTTTTGAGAGTGTCCATTGACCTTAATGATGAAAAGGATGGGGAGACCGCATCAAGTTTCATGTCGATGAAAGTTTAGCATTAGAGTTCCAACCCAATATCACTACTATGTGAAACTTGCCAAGGTCAACATGAGATATTATATCTACCTATACATAAAGCTTACATCAGAAGTAGCATCACCTACCATGCTTGCACCAGCCAATGTTCCTATTACAGTAGAGCGATGAATAGGCAGTGCCGCCCAGGTGGGCTACCTCGGTAGATTATGAAGAACGTGATACATGGGTAGGCTATATCTTGAAATGTTTCTGTGAAATGGTCAATGTTTGCGTTCATGAGTTTATGACATTCCAATGTTAGAATATGGTACATGGGTAGGCTATGTTATGAAATATTTGTTATAAAATGATCAAATGTTGAAGTCATAAATTTATGTTATTCCCATGCTAGAATAACAAAGAGTTGTTTCTATTCCACAGTAAGGTTTTGACTCTCCTCCAAGATTCTTATGGTACAATATGATTTTCAAGCAAGTATAGTATTGCATTCTTCTAAGTTGACTACAAGGCATTCAATTTGGAATATGAATATTCCAAGTTATTTGCAAACAACACATATTTGATTTGAATGGACGAAGAATAATATGAAGTAGTTTGTATCCAAGGTAAAATAACATTCACGAAGATGCAAATTGTGAAATCAGGCCGAGAGAGGAGGTCATGGTGTCAGGTAATCAGTTGATATGAGCAAAAATCTGTTAATATTATTTCTCAATAAATGATTGATTCACAATCCGTTAGCCTTGATTCTTGATGGATCAAAAGCATAAAGCAATCTTAGTGTAACAAAAAATGACATATTTTACAACGATTTTATGTAAAAAAATATTTTTTTGTGAGTTTATTTCAATGTCATATAGTCATCTAGTCAATCTGCAGTCAATAGACAAGAAACAAAGACAAGAGTTATTTTCTTTGATTTTAATTTTTTTCCCTGAGAAGATTATACAAAAAGAAAAATTCATTCATTTTCCTTTCACAACCCTTCCATACATATCAATAATGAGTAAATCTTTACTTCTAATTGTGAATATATCCATCCGTGATCAAAAGTAATCAAGTTGATCACATTTTTCTTCTTCATTTATCAATAAAAACTATATTCTTCAGAATTTTTTTAAAATAAATTCATTTATGTGTCAAGTTTTCGTTCACAACGTACGCTCATGTTACAATGATGTTTTTTATTACAATCATCCTATTTTTCAAAGGTTATATTTAAGTTATGTGAAATAATGTAATCATTAATTAGTTAATTTGTCTCATATCATCACATCGTTTTCTTTCAAATTTTTTGATTAGCACATGAAATTTGACAGACTAGCGATGTCATCCCCCTTTCCAAGTATAACTCATTTTAGAAAGCTTGTTCAGATTTGTTAAGAGAGTGAATACAAATGGATCTTAGAACCTAGTCCTAAAAGGCCTCATGAAATTGCCTGATGGAATGCTAACTAGTATATTCTTCTAATAATATATCCAAAATAAACAACTGAAGAAATTGACGTATCATTGTGTGGTTCCAAAATGCCATATTTTAACACAATAATGCAATTCACATGCTAGTCCCAAAAGATCTAAATAATTTTTTTTGCATATTAAATATTTTTTTTTGCGTAAAGAATCGATGACAAACTTCACATCAGATGTCACATCTCATATTGGGTGACACCGTAGTAAGATGTAAAACTATAGTTAGAATAATTAAATTTTCGAAGACAGTCATGTATTTAACCTGCATAAGAAACAACAAACCATTTACAACCTATTAAACATGAATAAACTCTGACTATCAAACCTCTAAAACGGAAACGCATTCAAAACTTTCTGATTGTGATGTTCATAAATTTCTAACTGTGCTCTTATATAAAAAGGTAAAAACAGTATAAAAATATTGTCATCCATATGTCAAATTTGAGAAAAGTTAATCTGGACCTTGAGATCAAAAGTTCTACTAATACAATGATCTCGAAAAGGACTTTAAATAGTTTAAAATCTGCTGAAAAACTTAAAATTTCTGACAAGTAAAGATGACTATTACTTCTGAACATCAGATAAACTCACAATCATTGAAGAACTATTTAAGTATTCCAAAGCTCATCTCCACAATCCATCCGATTCCTCCAGAAGCGGATTTGATACGAGGATCTCATCCCAATAATAAGATGGACACTCAGATGGCAGAACCTTACGTTGCACCATTCTGTTCTCAGCTAGTTTGCCGATTTGGACCACGTGGTCCTTTACCTTCCACAGCACAACCGAGCCCCACTACCAAGCCCCACCTCGTACGTTGCGTGCACCAACATATACCGTAGCTGCAATCTCGACATGCACTACTTCATATTTTTCGGAGTTCAGCCGGCAAACGAGAAAACCGGCCGCACATGGAATAGGACGAAGTAGTCAACATCACACAAACTCCAAGTAGCGTGGGTAAAGTAGTCATGAACGGGAGCAGCCCCAAAGAGAAAGGTGCTGGGATACAGCTATCTCCCAAGTTCCACCGGGTCGGAATGTTTCATGAGAACTGGTCACGATGTGTATTCGCAAATTCGGATCTCCATTCGTAGATTATATTTTTCCCGTTGATAAGGCTAGGAATCTTTCGGCACTATGAACTCCTGTCGCTTAAATATCAATGCGTCAAATAAGGACACAATTGATCTTTGTCTCATGTCATGATTGTTACAATATTTAGTGCATTTGCAATCGCCATACAAAAGACAAGTATGAGTGTTGTATTATAGGACCTATTTCCTCTTCATATTTATTGTATGTTTCGTCTTTATATTCTTCTCTTTACTCTTGGGGAAAAAGTTCGATTAATCGGTTAGATCGACTCTATAGCAACAATCCTAAGGGTTATGTCATTGACCAACGTCTTCGTGACAAAAGCGTGAGACTCTGAAGTCATGTGTACTCATGTCTGTACTGAGACTTATCGAATAACATTATGTCATTCTTACTTGGGAAATAAATATACTATACTGCTCACGGTGTCGTGTGTGGTTACTTGTTTTAAAACTACAATATTTCAAAATTATATATGGTGCATCTCAATTTTGATCCTACTCATCTGAAATCACTGGAATGCCATATGTAATTCATACACTTAACAAACTGAATACAAAAATTTCCTTTTTTGGTACTGTAATTACATAGAGAAATACATATAAAAATATGTTCGGACGTATTTTAGAACAACTTTTTTTCTTTACATTCGATATGTTTATATCATTGATACATTATATAGAGATTGACAGTAAATGAAGTTCGATTCTTTGTGTTATCTAAAAAAAAATATTATATTTTTATTGATCAGTTTTGTAAACTTTGCGAACTTGTGCATCACCCGTTTTAATTTTTTTTGGGTGCACAGATTCGTTGAGGACTGCGTAATCTATGCAGAGGAACTTTTATATTTAACAAGGGAAATATCTATTCATCTTCTGCGTTGCTGCCGCCAGGCAATAAACGACATACATGTAGATATGTATATGTCTAACGAATCAGTGTTTGATATCTGGAATAGTGATGCATGGCAGCTCTCTATCAATGGAACGTGCCTTTAAACCTGGATGGCATAAATAAAAAGAGAGGAGGGAATGAACAATTGCATGAATAACGAAGCCTAGATATTGATTCAATTGTCCCATTTGGGACTTGAATTTCATGATAACAACCGAAGCTACGTGAAAGTACCTTGTCAATAGATAAATAAATCGATCGCTTTATGATCTTAAACTTGCTGGCAGATCCAACGATCATCCTGATCTATTTCCAGAATACAAAATGGTAGAATTCTCTGGAGCGGAAGACATCTTCGTGGCTGTACTAAAATGGGGATCAGAATGGTTGTAGACCTGGAGCGCCTGGAGTGCATGTGAAGCAAGTTCTGAGGACTGACCGGGAACAGTACAAGGAGGGGATCTGAGTTAGGTGCCGGTAAACTTTCAAAACATCTTACAAAACATTTTACTCAGCGAGGTAAATCGAAAGACGACGGGTGGACGACAGAATTTCACCACAAGAAGCAGAGGAGCCAGCCGGATCCATCGTCACGTCCTGCGAGTTACACGTGGCCGGTGGCAATTGCACGTCGGGCGTCTTACCTGGCAACTACGGGTTGTTATGCCCAACGGTTAATCCAGCCGTCGGAGCGACGACCCCAGTCTACAGCGAGCGAGTCAGGATTAACTTGGAGCTTCATTGAGATGTGACGTTCCAGCCAATCACTTCACGCGCACAGGAATATCTACCCGACAGTGCGAGCACGGGAGCCCGACGGGAGGAGCCGGCGTCGTCGTCGTCGTTGGCGCCAGGCGCTACGGGAAAGAGGGAGCGGGCCGAGTCCAGCCAGCGAGTCGGAGCAGCGAGAGCACTGGCGAGGGAGGGGAGGGGAGGCGAGAGGAGACGAGGCGAGACGAGGCGTTCGAGTTCCTTCTAGTGGGGGAAAAGTACGAGCAGAGCGATCAGCGACTTCTGCTGATCTCTCTCATGAGCCTCTTCCCTTCTCTGCTGTGCTGAACTTTGCCCTGCTCCGTGGCCGTGTCGTTCGAGCGAGCGAGCATAACAGATTCTTTGTATTCCGGTGTCGTTGTTGGTGGAGTGTTGTTTTGCAATTAGTCGTAGCGGATCGAGCCTCGTACCGACGCGCAGAAGTCGATCGAGAGGGAGGGAGGGAATCAACTGATAGTGGAGTGAGGCGGTGTGGTGTTGTTCGATAGCAGGACGACGGGTTGATTCGACGATGACGCACGACTTGAGAAGGAGGAGAATGTAGGGAACCGGATCAGGGATTGGAGTCAGAGCCTCTGAGGAGGAAGTTCTAGCGCGAGTCGAGTACTGGTTTTCACGAAAGCTGCGGGCGGCGTTGTAGCGTCCGAAGTAACTCCGGCCATTGTTTAGGAATGGCGCAAATTTTAGAGAATGCATGGCAGGTACGGGTCTGAGAGTTCCCATCTCCGAGTTGTTGTTCGAGTGTCTGTGTTCGTTCTGGGTGTGATTTCCATGAGGTTTGCCTTTCTTTTTTACTCATCAGTGATGCATTGCTGTGACGGGTCTTCTTCAACCTGCATTGCATGCCGGACCCTTGTTTCACCGAGCTACATTCTTTAGTGAACGAAATGCTCCCAGTATGTAGGGAAGACCATAAGCGTGGCTGCCTTCTAGATCTCGTCGATCTATGATACTAAAGCGCACGACGCGAATTTCCTACACGTGGTTTCAGGCGGCTGTCGTTGGGAACCCATTTGCTCTCTGTTGAAAGGGACGTAACGATACTCTTTGGGTCCAATGTCCGTGCGAAAGAGGTGATGCGAGTTCCGATTTCGTCGCTTTGATATAGACATAATTCCTACAACTCTCCTCTTCCTACCGCTTTCCTTGTCGCGGGCTACCGAGTCGCACAACGTGGGTTTCCTGCTTTGCCGTTCTCTCTGGAACAAACCTTTCGAACCTCGAGACTCTTCATCTCGACGTGCACATTGTGACTTCGTGCAGCTACACTACGTGCGCCGCTAGGGGAATTCTCTGCAAGTCCGAGGGAGATCAGCCTGGAAGAGGAGGAAGGATTTTGTAGTTGCTTATCGACAAACGGACCCTGATCCTTGGAGATATTCTAACCTCTTCTCTCGAGTGACGGTAGCTCTTGACGAAGGCTCCTCAACTTATCGAATCAAGCTGCTGTTGTGGAAAGTAATTTTCAGCCATATCATTCATCATCTTCACACGTCCTCTAGATTAGGGTTGACGAACATTCTAATATCTCAATGTCATCACCAGTCTCCGGAGATTCGCCTCACTGTCACTGACTCGTAGATTCTTTAATCTTTACGAAGAGAAGAGATTCGACCATGAGCCTCTGAGGTTGATTTCTGCTCCCCTGGTCATATCTTTACGCGAATCTCCCACCGTCAACCGCAAGTACCGTTGCTAAGTGACCTGCAGGAACCAACACTCGAGAAGTACCGACGTTTGAAAAGAATCATCGACGTGCGCCGCAGTGCGCGTTGCTCGGGGTGCTCGATTTTCTTCGTCTTTTAATTTTCCAGTTGATCTGAACTCTCTTGGGTTGTCAACGGTACTTGTTTCACGATGTTTCCTGGAAAAGGACGAAGTGTTTCGTAACCAAAGAAACAAGGGGATCTGGCGTGAATCTAAATACGAAAAGGAGTTCGTCGATTTGTTTCGGGGTCTTCATGGTGGACAGCAAACACGTGTTCGGCAATTGTCGTGAAAGCGAGGAAATCGGAGACGTGATACGTCTGGTAGCAAAATGTAGTTCTTGTTTGTCTCTTATATATCGGGGAAGCACGTTTGTGGACTTCATGTTCACGAAAGACGCTGTGGGTTGGTAGACGGAAATGAATCCTTTCTTCCTTCCACTCAACGATATTCTCGGAATAGCTTGTCGCACTCGACTTCTGTAGAAGAGAGGTGAAGTACTTCAGCTGTGAGACTGTTGACCTAAGCTTGTTGACTTTTGATGATCACGCGGTTTCCAACTACGTGCCCCTGCATGTGTTCCGTTTAGACCAACTATGTTATATCTCGTTTCTCGAACTTCGCTAGTTCGTACGCCCGTCGGGTGGTCCTTCTACGTGAACTAGAGGATTGCCAGATTCTGAATCAGAGTTGACGTGGTTTCATGATTTGTACGTAAGAAATCAAACTGATGTTCATGGATGCCGTATGATCATTGCATGCAGTACCTGATTACCAACTTCAGCGAATTTCAATTAGCTTCTGCCGGGACATTTATCATCCATGAGAGTGTCTTCTTTCTCTCGGGCCTGCCATATCTCCTGATGGAGACATGGGGCCTTCGAAAGTACAAAATCCAGGTAACTAATGCTGTTTCTTTTGTGCCTTCCTTGGTGCCTTTCTCGGCACCAAGGAAGTTGGTAGGTGACGACGTCACCTACCGACTTCTTTGACCTTTTATGTCTTTGGCACAGGACCTTTGGCATCCGATCTTTGTCCCATACGACGTGGTCGTTGTGACGCTTGAAGTTAGAATCGGAGTACTAAAATTTAGCATCGGTTTGCAGAGGAAGGTGAATACTCCCGCAGCGCAGGAGAAGTGTGTGATGCGTCTTATCATGTATCACGTCTGCGTCAACTTGCCCTTGATGATCGTCTCCTATCCTGTCTTTAAATATATGGGATTCACTAGCGCACTTCCGTTGCCCTCATGGTACGTTCTAAGATGGCTGAACATTTTTTTACCAAGGTTGCTTTTCAGTTGTCGTAAGTCCAAAATCTGAAGGGCGTACAATGTGATAGCAAACCTGGTGCTGGTCACCAAACATTGTTCTGTAATTAGCATGTGGCTGTTCTGGGCTAACGACGTTACTCTTTCCGTGGATTTGTTTCTAACTCAGTTTGTATATACCCGCAAGTGGGGGTGTTTATGACAACTCTGCCGAATCGTGTGATACAAGTGGCCGAACTCATGATCATCCTGTTGATCACAGGAGGAACATGAGTCATCAGGATCATCAGGACTGTTTTCTAATCGCCTAATGTGCTAACATATGGTGCAGGAAGGTGGTAAGCCTTCAAATTTTTTCGTACTTCATACTGGAAGATTTCATCTTCTACTGGGGTCACAGAATCCTACATACGAAGTGGCTCTACAAGCACGTCCATAGTGTGCATCATGAGTAAGTTCCTTCTCTCGCTAGTACTTGTCCGCTCAGTCAAACAGCCTTCTGCCTTCATGTGTCTGTGAGAATCTCAGCGATCACTGGTGGAGTAGCACATTCCCCTCGTACTTCTTACATTTGCATGCGAATTTTTTTAGTGACGATCTACCAATCTATGGCCGCCTTCTTTCGTGATGGAACCACTTGAATTGTGAAGAAAATGTGTGAAGAAATTTTAGATTGACTCGTCCTCCTCTTTAATGAACAGGTACGCCACACCCTTCGGTCTAACCTCAGAGTATGCCCACCCAGCCGAAATTCTTTTCCTCGGTTTCGCGACAATATTTGGACCAGCCATCACGGGGCCCCACTTGCTCACTCTGTGGCTGTGGGTCAGCGTGAGGGTACTCGAGACAGTTGAAGCTCATTGCGGTTATGATTTTCCTTGGAGTCTCTCGAGATTTCTACCTATCTATGGCGGGTGAGTACGCCTGGGAATATCATTATCGTTTGTGGTTTATGTTTGAAAGCCTTAGTGTGTTTGAATGTTTTCTGACCTGAAATACGTGAGCATGACTTTTACATCTGTCATGATTTACACAGTGCGGACTTTCACGACTACCACCATCGACTGCTGTACACCAAATCAGGAAATTACTCCTCAACTTTCACGTATATGGATTGGTGAGTGAACGACACTTTGTGATTTAGCTGTGAAACCTGTTGGTCAAGTTTAAGCCATATTCTTTGTGGACGTAATATATGGGGATGTTAATACACAACCATCTATTAGTAAGCTGTGTTTGAATTTTTTTTTGAAAATGATGGCCTCTGTCTCTATGCCTACGAATCTCAAAGTTTGGAGATAGATTAGAGGGAATACTTTTACTCTTTTCTTTTGGCCATCAAGTGGCTGGCATGGTGATAGATCGCCCGATCTATGTCTTTTAAAACATTAACACGATACGTGCCGTTTCTCAGGATCTTCGGAACCGACAAAGGGTACAGAAAGTTGAAAGCTTTGAAATCGGCTCAGGAAGCGCATGATGCGATGAGTGCTCCGACTGAAAAAGTGGAATGAGATTAAGAGTCAGCAACTTGGCTGGAATCCTGAAGGGGTTTCGTATAATTATCGTCAGGACTTCAACATCCCCTCTGCGAATTTGGTTCTTTTGTACATGTTACGGCTTGGCTCATCTTTGTGGAATTAATTGATTGAAGGGTAAATTGTACTCATTTTTTGAAATCGGCTATCAGTTTGATGGTGGAGTGTCTAAACATATAGTGAAGTTTTGAAGGTGAGTCTTGCAGAGCAGATCGATCGGTTACAGTTGTTGTCAAGGAATGAATCATGGGAACATTATTGGTGTAATCAGTTCAGGAGCTTCCAGCTTCATGTACACAAAAGAGGGCGCCAGGCTATTTAACATAGTTGTGGTATACTTCGAAGATCTTTTGGGGTTATTTTTGACCTGTCTCCGTCTTTATTACATTTTCTCCGGTAGTTGTCGATTCCAAACATTGACTAGTTTTGAAACCTGCCCGGTCACGATGTCTTGTTTGACTTGGGAAGTTAAGTGTGCCCAAGTTTTCGATTATGCCTCGTTGAAATGAGAAGGGGTTTACAAGATGTATCAGATCGCGTTTTCTGTGTAATGTTCTTGTTTCATTTTACATGCGTAATCTGAATCTAGCGGTCATACATGTGAAATTTATCTGCTTACGAAGCTCCTGCACTTCAATGTGAATTCCCCAAGTTTTTCTGCGCGTTGTTCAACTTTGCTTTCTTAATTCGGAAGAGTTATAATCATAAGTAATAAACAAAAACACAAAGATTTTAAATCGTATGAGGGTGTAATAGAATTGGAAGATTTCATCTCATGAATAAGAACAAGATAAAATTCAGTTGTACGCATCAAGTTAGATGAACAGGCTTTGTAACTAACAGACAGTAATCCAACTTCACCCGGCTCAATTGCGACATCTCAGCCTTCATTATATGAGTAAAAATCATTCATTTAAAAGGCACAACAGAGATGAAGAGTGGAAGTGAACTAAATCAAGATACTCAGCATATAATACTTTCGCAGTAAATTTCACGGAGAGAAAAAAATTTTCAAGTTAATAAAAGACAAAACATTCTAAGTTTAGACCATTAGAACACAATTTTAAATTTGAACTAATTTCCCATCATTAACTATTTGATAAAGATGTTTAATGATAATTTTTTATCTTCATAGATCTTTTATCTAATCCATGATCTTCTATCTTTTACTTTTTCTGCAGGGCCGGGGCGAAGCTAGAATCACTTTTATTTTCCAATCTACTTTCAAATTATATTGTTCCATTCATGATATTCCAAAGATGACATCATATCAAGCTAAATAAATTACTCTCCATTCAATGCTCTCATTGTATGGATAATTCTACACTCCGTGGTAATGTTTCTATCACTTCAGTTTGGCCGTTTGGCAATTCAATTTTTTTACTCACGTCATTCATCAAATCTAACTTCATAGCAACACTCATTGATAGAAAATTCTCAGTTGCTCCAGGGTCAAGAAGATGACTTTCTTAATATTCAAGCAATTTTCAGCCCTGTTCTGTAGACAAACTCATACATACAACATTCCATCAAAATCACATATCCCGGTTGGACACTCACTTTAAACTTGGTAAGTTTGTGAATTCATTATGAACCCTAAACTTAGCCGGTAGGTGCATACTTTAGACAAATTAGTTATCAAACATAGAAGCTCAACAATGATTTGCTCATAATTCTGTACAAAGATGTTTAGACTTTAGGGTACACAGTATAAAAGCGACATAGCCGTCCTTGCTAAAACAATTGATTCATCATAACATCATTTCTTATTCCAGTAGTTGAAATGTCAAAGAACATGAATGAGAAACGCCTCAATGGGTCTCAGCGATGCGAAATAATAGCGAAGCTAAGCAAAACAAAAGCTCCCAGTAAAAGGGCTATAGCGCGCGAATATGATGTCAGCGAAGGCGCTATCAGGAAGGTGTTGGAGAAGCGGCATCTGGTTTTAGAAAGATCTGCTTTAATGTCAGAAGAAGTTAAGAAAAAAAAACTTTTTGATCTAGGTCATTTCACTACTATTGAAGACATACTTTACATCTGGATTGACATCATGCGTAGTGCCTATCTTCCTAATCCATTGTCTCTTGCCATTGTCAAGGCGAAAAGCATTGCATGAGTGTATCGATATCGAAACCGAATTCTAGGCATCATGGCAATGGCTACGTGGATTCAGGCAACGACGAGGTTTACAGAAGATGTTGCTTCACGGAGAAGGAGCTAAAATCAACAAGATTTATCCACAATTGTTAGCAGCTTTGGACGAGCTCTACGCAACTATTGTTCATTATGAACCGGAAACGTTTACAATATGGACATGACAAGACTTTGTTTTGGTCCCTTGCCAAGGTATAGCTTTCTATTTCCAGATGAAGACATTTCGGCCACCAAAGGGAAGAAAAAATTCCAAAGATCGGGTTTCTCTTATTGTGTGTGCCAACGCAGTTGGGATTCATAAAAGTCCATGCGCTTTGATCGGCCAACCGAAAGAACCGGCTTATATCAAGGACCGTAAGTGACATATTCCTTATTTCAATCAATATCAAGCTTGGATGGATAAGGAAACATGTTGGAAGTGGTTCAACGAAATATTTCTGCCAGAAGTGAAACAACAAATTGGACGTTGGATCCTTTTGTTGATGGACAATACGCAGGAGCACTTTGAAGCTTTTGAACGCGACAATGTTAGGATAGCCTTCTTTTCTCCGAATTGTACCAGCTGGAAACAACCTTGCGATATGGGCATAGTCGTAGCTTTGAAAAGGCGATTTAAATATCTTTATCTCAAAGACTTTCTTGACTTTTTTCAATTGGACGATGAAGCAAAAATTTGCAAGAAAGAGCAGGGGCGAAGGTTACAACGGCGTGCTGCTGGAGCTGCTTACGAAAGTCAAGCTCACCTTCTTGATACTGCGAATTATGTCAAGAAAACATGGCAATTTGTGTCACACATGTCCATCAATAGTGCATTTATCAAGGCGGACATCATGCCATTAGAAACTGATAAGAAAGCGGAGAATGAAGACGAGGAGTTAGTGACCGAAGTTGTCCAAGCTCTTTCTGCTCTAAATCTTTCCCTTGTGCAAGACGAGCTTGAAGAATTTGTTCACATCGATGATAAAAAAATGAAGAATTTGCAGCTGCAGGTTTGGAAGATGTTGATCAGCTTTTGCAAATGATGAAGGTTTATGAAGAGAATAAAGAGGATGTCAACGAGGATGAGAATGTAACATCACAAGTGACAGATGGAGAATTAGGAAACAACTTTGTGTTCAAGGGATTCGAATCACTTTATAAGCAAGTTGTTGACATAGAAGACCATTTGATATGCTCGGAGGTTCAAGCGGAGGCTGAGGAGACATTAGAAAGTCGAAAGTACTATTTAAAAGAAAGGTCCGGGCTCTCAGCTTGAAAGCCAAACACAAAAAACTTCAAAACTTAAGACAAATGACAATTCATGACATGATGAATTGAATAAACGTGAACCCTATTTTTTTTCAAAAAATATTGCGTACCTAACCGCGAGGATACTGTACATGATTCAACTCCATATGAGGCTACGTCATGGTTGAGATAAAAAAAACTTCACTAAAGCGATCCTGAGTCTCTATAGCCAAGCTCTTCACTATCTCTTCACTACGGTGCACATGTGAGACTGCAATAAAAACTTGCTTGTACACGGATTAAATATCTGGGACTCTAGAGTCCAAGCTTAACTAGAATTAGACTAACTATGGTTAACAAAACTATGATCAACCTTACAAACTTCCCCTTAACTCAAATCTTGGAGAAGACCGTTTCTATGATCTTAATATATTTTCAGTGGAAAGTTTTAAAAAGTAAAACTTGAACCAAAGCTTATTTATAATATAAATCTATATATAGTTATATATATAGATTATATAATATATATATAGTTATAAATATATAATCTATATTATAACAGCCATTGTAGGATTATCCCTCATGTCCATGTCCTAAACACCCTTTCACGCAATACCTTAATTTATCACTCCAATTCACATACAAACATCGACATTCAAAGATAATGAAAATCGTCACTCTTTCATATATGAAACAAGTCTTTAAACATGAACTCTTCAAACTTGCTTGAGAGTATCTTCCCTACCTCTCTATATGTATAACTTAAAAATTTACCATAGTATAAAATGGTAATTATTATCTAACTTACTTTAATAAAGATGAACCATGGTAAGTTTGACTAGTTATCAATATGTGGCAACATGCCATTGATTTCCTAAGCTTTCTAAATATTTAGTAATCTCTAGATGGAGGTGGCGACATGCCATTGGTGATTTTCAACTTCTAGAACCTCCAATTGCCACTAAGTCAACATTACACTTACTCTAATCAATGAAGTACTCATTACTTAGTCAAACTAATCAAAACTAAACATGAAGTCAAAAGTATTTTCTCTTGGAATCTAGATGTTTGTACAAAACAAAATAGAAATACTCACTCACATCTTCTAGAATTTCTCTAGTTATTCTGTCAAGTATGGACATTATATCTAAACATATTTAAAACTTGAGAAACTTAGTTATAACTAGCTAGACTTAGTCAAAACTAAACTAAATATGATTAAATCCTTGGCTACTTCTAGTTCTATTTTACACATATAACAACCGATCTTATAGAACGCTGAGATCGAGAGTACAATGAGAAGCATTGCATGCCGTGTCCGGATCCTAAAGCTCAAAGCTCAGACAGAGTCAACTCGAAAGCTTGTTGTTAGATGGGAGAGATAACAAGTGCAAATGGTAGCAATTTGATCAATCCACTCTCAATAGTTGGCGCTTCAATGATCTTTGTGGTCAAATTCTATTGACAATTTCAGCAATTCAAATATAGTTGTGTTGATTGTTATTAATTCGACAGATTGTGAGCTTCGTCAACAACCATCTAATCGAAAGAAGAACGCTTTCAACGATGAGGCGGGGTGGGGTGGTCTTTGAGGTCGATATGTCTGTGCATTGTTGTAATCATCTTTAGTTGATTAGTTTAAAGTGAAGATTAATCAAAATGTTTATGTAATTAATGTAGCGCGCACTTGTCATAGTTGTCACGTCAACGATCCACGTGCTTGGTAGGTAGAGATTAAGTATGTTAGTTGGAAACGTCACGTCAGCAATGTGTGTGCTTGTTAGATAAAGATTGAGGGTATTAGTTAGTGTTAGTTGGAACCGCCACGTCAGCGATTTGTGTTCTTGTGTAACCATCTTTAGTTAGTTAGAACTAAAGTAGAGGTTACTCTAAATATTGATGTACATACTTTAGTGTGCACTAGAGCTAGCTGCCACGTCAGCAATCCGTGTGCTTATAGGTAAGGATTGAGTGTGTTAGTTAGTGTGTTAGTTGGGTGCGCCATGTCAGCGATCCGTATGCTTGTTAGGGTTATTCGCCACGTCATCCATCCACTAGGAGTGGGATTGATGGTGGGGATTAGATCTTATCTCCTTGTACTTGTTGGTGAGAGCTATATAAGGGAGAGGAGAACCATTGT